TTTCTCTTTTAAACATAAAATCAATTAATTTCCTTAAAATCCATGTAAAAAGTCATCTGGACCTATATGCTGCTGTTAAACACCACCCGTCTCCCTTATATTCATACATGTGGCAGTGTTCTCATCTAAAGGTGTATAAATAGACAAATTTTACTCTGACGAAGAAATATTAACCTTCTTTATTTTCAAATAGATTGAGCTTCGGTTTGTTACTCTAGATCATTAGCTTGATTTGTTTTCTTAATGTGTATGTAAAAAGTAATCGAGATCTGTGTTACAGATGCGTTTTGGGGAAGAAGCTACACCCGTAAAAGGAAGGAGAAATGACAGAAGGAATAATAAGATCACCAATTAACTTACTACCCCGGAGTATTATTATTTCTAAAATGTTCAGAAGACTGGTGTTGGGAATAATTATTGGAATTGTCGCTTATTTTAGGATTCCTTATTAGAATGGATGATGTATTCCTATTTATATTGCTTTTCATTCAATATTATCAAACAATTTAGAGACTTCTTGTCATATGTAATACATGGAGTTCCAAAGCTCTCAACGACTACTTTGACCTCTTTTTGTTTCTTGTTGTCTTTTAAACCCTAAAATCGCCACCATAGTTTTGGCACGACAAGAACCGGTCTTCTACCATTCTACTCCAGTCCAAAACACCCCGTCTGGGTATTGTTTTCAATCCAAATCTAGGGCCCATGACAACCTATATAATCTATCTGTCTATGTTTAAATGTGAATGTGTGTGTGTGTGTATAGATAACCTTTGCTTGTGTATCTGAGCATCTTGGAAACAACCTCCCTACACACACCCTCCTTAGACCTTACTTTTTCTGTGGGATTTTACTGAGTTTGTTGTTGTTATTTACACGGATGAAGAAATAGTAACGTTCTTTCAAAGAGATTCGGGTTGTTTCGATAAATTATCACCTCGTGTGGCATTTTTAATTATAAGTTTTTACAGTTGCATGTGAAATAATAGTTCATTCTCTCACCCAGGCAAACACAATGTTCATTTCATCCACTTTCATGCCTTGTTTACTGGTGCTGGACTGAACTAATACATGGACACAACATTTGTACTATATAGGTGGTTTTTGTATAAAAGTGACTGTGCGAGGAGCGGGCTTTGAATGCGCTTGCAATGGCGACAAATACTCCGATTCCTTTGAGGCACGGGATTCAGCTGCCGCTAGGATGGTTTCCAGGCTGGGCACGATGACCGACATGATCTTCGAGAGCTTTGGGTTTTGAACCCTTTTATAGTATTTGTATTACTGAACATTGGTTTGGTTTCTGTCTGATTACAGTTCATTGAAACACCAGCAAATGATCTGTTTGATGTTCTTTGTTTTGTTCATTCACGAATTGCATTTTCAAGTTGGCCTAGTGTTTGTGCATTTTTTTTTATTTGTAATGCTAAGGCATTGTAAGTAACATGGCATTATGTTCGGTTCAAGGAATTTGAATCGAAAAAAAAAAGAAATGAGAAAGGAAACAACTTCTCTTGTTTGGTTAAGGATGAGAAGAAAAAAAGTACTCTGTAGAAAAAAAGAAAACGAGAGAAGGAAAATAATTTTTCTTCAGAGATTTGGTGAAGGAAAATAATTTTTTTTTTTTTTTTTTTTTCCTTTCGAATTCCACCAACCAAACATAGGGTTTTCTTTCTAGGAAGTGTTTGTGAGGGTGTTCTTTTCAACTCTTACAAGGCTTTACTTTTTCAGGTTTTAATTACAATTGGGTTGAATATGATTTTTTCCTCATTAAAATGAGTGACCTTTTACTTTCTGTTTTTTTTTGAGGAGTTATCCTTGCAAAAAAAATTGTGGTCCCACCGATATGGAGCTAGAAACACTATTTAGAAGTTTCATATTGGTGCTTGCCTCATGGGGTTTTCTTCTGTGGACTAGGCCCAAAATCCTTGGGCTTAGGAGTTTATTATTCTAGTAAAGTCCGTATTTGTTTACATTTCTGTAAAAAAGATTACATACAAAGGAGTATGTTAATTGTATGATTTGATTACATCTAGACCCGATCAATGTGTATTCCTTGTCGAGTTTCAATCCATGCTGAGATGTTATCTTAGGAATATTGTTAGGCGCGAGGTGTCGCGCGCATAGCTGGTCTAACAATTGAATTCTAAGCGGCCGAGTTCGAACTTCAGGGGCACCCACGGGCTTCGGATGTCACAACATGCCTTCAAAATAATTTTAAAAAAAAATAAATGAAATAATATCTTAATTTATGCGGTAAGATACTCGGTATTGGATATATACTACTACGGAGTAATAATTATGATGAATACACTATCAAAGTTAAAATTAACTTGTGGGGTGTAATTGAATGTGTAGGTGGTGTGTTCGGTTCGGGGCGAGGTGGGATTTACCGGGGGGTTAGGGGGGTAGGATCGCCAATTTTATGAACGGGGCACCGGAGCATCTCCGGATCATCCCATGACATTACCGGACAATGTCATGGGAGTCGTCCCGTTTATTATAATTATACTAATAATATATATTTTAATTTATTCGGGCCGGTCCAGCCCGTGGGCTTGAGCATAAAATCAGAGCCCGACCCTAAAATATATTGACCACCATTTATAAGGCCCAAGCCCGGCCCATAGCCTAAAATGTCAAGCCTAAGCCCGCTATTTTGCGGGCAGGCTTTTACGGGCGGGCGGGCCAGATACCCGAGCTCGTGATCAGGTCTAGGTCCTGGACCTGAATATCAAAAGTTCTAAAATATTTTGATAAATATAGCCTTTGTCTTAGAGTGTTTGTCTAATCTTGATTTTTTGCAGTCACGATCGACAAACTTCAAGCATAAAACATTTTAAAGTATTATTTTATCTAGTTTGTAAGCCATATATTTTTTATATAATTAAAAGTCAACAATTAATCCTGATTGACTACAAAAATTTAAAACTGGACAAATACTTTAGAATGTAAGTAGCAATAGATGAAAATATGTTTAAAAAAAGTTTAATTAAATATTTTAAATGGGGGATAAGAAAAGAGGTGTCCAATGTCCACATCTATTTTGGCTAATCTATTTTTTATACAGAGTACTTAATACTTACTTAATAGTCAATCTTATTATTCTAAAAAAAATACTCGGTAGACAATTTTATTTTATCTTTAATGATACAAAATATATATTGAGTATATAAGGTTTTTCAAGGGCAACAAGACAATATTTAAATAGAAAATTATTCATTTAGTATAGAAGATTAGAAGAACTAGATTTTATTATGTACGGCACGCGTTAAAACAATCTTGATTTGTAGTCGTCCTGGTCTCAATCCCGTTTTATAGAAACGGGTTAGAACGGTTCGGGACACGATATTGTCCTACTTGTCTCTTTCTGGGTTTGATACAATTCAAAACGATTCAGAATGTTCTAATTCAAGTTTTTTTTAAAATGAAAATATAAAAATTTGTACTCCGTAAAATGTTAACCCCAAAAATTAATTCAAAAATTTTACACAAACATTTTTAATAAATTCTTAAATAAAAAGGTAATAAAAACATATACAAACATTACAAAAATAACATTTTAATTTACAAATCTTATATAATTGGTTAAAAAAGTAACGTGAACGAACATTTACGTTTTGACATAAAATACGAGATAACGAAATTGGATGAATTACTTTTTAGTGAAATTTGTACTAAATAGTACTAAAACAAATATCTTTTCCAATGTAGCAGTTAAATTTTTTATTTTCTAAATAGTACTTGAATAATGTCTAGTGGCGGGAACAATGACGAGTGATTATGGACTTTTAGTTTGAACAATATCCAGTGGCAATGAACATTTATTTGAACAATGACTAGTGGACATTGAAGGGTGGTACTACATTGAGAAATAAAAATATATGATATTAAACTGAGAAAAGCACTATGTTTTAGTACTATTTAGGTAAATTCCATTTTTATTTATCCACATCCTATTTTATTTTAAATTGATTCTGGATGCCAGTGGGTGTTGCACAGTTGGGGTAAGACCTGAATTCGATTCCTGACAACTGCGCTCAGAGGTAACTATATTAAGCATAGAGACTTTGCAAATACCAATAAGCAATCAAATCGTCTAACCGAATCTGAGTAGGGCCTCGGGGGCTCATTCTGGATGGGTTGAAGAAAAAATATTTGAGCAATGTTAGGGATACACCAAAGGTGTACCCCAAATGTACATCACTTCTTTCTCCACCACCCACTTTTATTTGATTTTTATTTATTTTTTTAATTTCTTGCCTATTTATGTGGACAAGGAGGGAGTGAGGACCTATGGGGTACACTTTTGGTGTACCTAAGATGTACCCCTAGCATTTTTTTAAAATATTGACATTTTGGAAATGGTTGCCGAGAATGCCCACCCAAAACTAGGGGTGAGCAAGTACCGAACCGATACCGAAATTTCCCGAAAAAACCGAGAATACCGAACCGAAAAATACCAAACCGAAAAAATACCGAGAAGAAACCGAACCGTACCGAACCGAATGGCCGGTACGGTATTCGGGAACGGTACGAGGTGACGTCCCATACCGAAAATCCCGTACCGAACATATATACTAGAATATTATAAAAATGATACTCCGGAGTAATATTTTTATATATTCTTTCACTAAATAATAATTTTTAAAAAAATTTGGTTCAAATTCTANAGTATTCACAAAGATTCGAAATACTCCTTTGTTGTCATTCATTTTTTTAGTTTGTGAAATATAAACTAAGTTTTGATACGTATCTCTTGCATTTAAATATTCATTTTTTTAAATTTTTCATATTTTTTTTTTATTTAAATTCACTTTTAATTTTCAAAAATAAAATGGTATTGTTAAATATTAACGTGTAAAGTAGGTATGTATATTTATCCCGATTTGTACCGATACCGATACCGAACCATCCCGAACCATACCGAACCGATATTTCGGGATCGGGATCGGTACAAAGCAAAATCTCATACCGAACCGAAATATTTGGTACGGTATCGGTACGAGCCAAATACCGTACCATACCGTACCATGCTCACCCCTACCCAAAACCCAAAAGAAGTGCCTTTTATGGCAAAACCCCGCCAGTATTTGGGGCGAGAGTGGAAAGTTTTCAAATTTCTCCCTGGCACAGATTACAGTAGCGGGTCGTCCTTTTCACAGTGCGCCAACTCCGACGCATGCGATATTCTCAGCCATTTCCGGTGCTTGCATGCCGCAGCAATTCGCTCAAGAACCGACTTCAGCTCATCCGGAATCGGCAGGTAATGTTTCTTCGCTTTTACGCGATTTTGATTCGAAATCATCAGACTCCGAATTTCACATCTATCGATTAATTGCAGCTGCTCTGACATCTTTTTCGAAGGCGATGATGGAAGATATGTGCTCTGCGGAGGAAGTGGTCCAGCCTTACTCGACCATTTCGTGGAGCCTTTCTTACCCAGCTTCCGTACTGGACAAGCTCCTACTCCTTCCCAGCATCAGGCCGTTGCCAGACAGGCAAGTTCTCCTTTCGTTTTCTTAGGTTTTGGAAATTATTTCTATATTATTCAATGAATTGCTGGGGCTTCCTCTGAAGTTGAGTTTCTCTTTGCCAAACTCCATTAGAGCTTGAATTTGAGCTACATTTGTTACTTTACTCTGTTGTAATTGGAATGGTATAGAGGCATTTTGAATCCCGGTTCTTTGGATAATTACTTATGTTGTTATATGCTTCCATAAAGGATTTAATGTACTGCTCATTATATATGACAGATGCATGCTGTGGTGTTGCTCTACAACTATTTTCATAGGAAGCAATCTCGTGAACATGCATTCCTTGACTTCATGTCGTTTTGTAAGCTGGCGATTGTATTGAAACCAAGCTTGATGGCTTACATGAAACTTATGGATCAAGTGGATTGTTCTATGATGGATGGTTTCGAGAGTAAACTTTCACAAACAGAAGAGGCTATTTTCAATGCATGCAACATATCTCTAGCTCTGGATGCATCAAAAAATGTCCCAGTTACAGGTGATTGGCCAGTGTCTAAAGTTGCTGTCTTCTTAGTGAACTCAGGGAAGGAAAAGTGCATGCTATTGGATACCAATGGGGGTATATCTGTAATTGAGAAAGATCTGGAGGTTTCTTCTGATTCTAGTGTTGGTGCACATGATCCTCTAAAGTTGAAATGTGGAAGAAAACAGACAGGAGCTGCAGAAGTATTATTGAATGACACTGAAAATAATAATGCTGACGCTAGGATTTTGGATTGGGCTTTTTTTGCTGTTGAAAGTGTGGCAGGTATTTTGGAAATAACTAGATGTCTATCAGTTCTCAATTTATTGAAACTTGCATTTGATGAGTCACAACTCAACAAGTAATTGCTTTGGTTTCTGAAAGTCATGTTATGAACAAGCACTCCCTGAGCTATGCAGATGTGTTATTATTACATGCATATCCTTAAATATTTGTTAGCTTTTTTTTCTGTCCAATTTCCTTGTATGTATCTTTCCTTTCCTTGGTGAGAGCTTTCACAAGTGAAAATCATAAAATTGCCACACGAATTATTTTGAAAGCAAGTGCCAGAATGCCTCTTATCAATTTGATTTTTGTGTGAAACAGCCATCAACAGAAGTGATCTAGTGGTTCTAGAGAGCCATACTGTATATTCTTTAAATAAACCAAAGGCTGCTGCTCGCTTATATCTAATGCAAAGCACTCAATATAACAATGATGACATTCGAGTTCATATCAAGGATATCATTAAAAGGTTTGTTCATGATCCCACTTTTGAATGTTCTTGAACACTTTGAATATAATGGGCAAGCATATTGGGACAAATTTATATGTGAGTGCAGGAAAATTATTATGAACTCATTTGTCCAGGGACTGTTTATCCTAATATGTATTACATGAAAACAATGCGAAATTTCATTTAGTTATTGACACCTTCAGCCTATTGGCTGTTTATATACTTTGTTGCCCTGTCTGACCAGCACTACTTTATGTAATGGGAATCTTGGTTTCATTATACCCATCCTTGTTGGATTCTATTCATTCCCTTCTTCAAGATGACAACATTGCTTCCAGCTGCAACTTTAGACACTACCTAAATCGAATAATGTCATCCTTATATGCATTTGCTCTGATTTTGTAATAACACGATTCTCTCAGGTAGCATGGGAACTCTTCTGCATCATTAGGGATGTAGTAAGGGAAGTGCACCTAAGATAATATGAAGACACTTTCATTAGTGCTTAGTCATTATTGCTGGTGCAAACATTCTGATGGGAATTATTCCCCCACTTTATATGATTTTAAGTTGACTTTCATTTTTGTTATTAAGCTTTCATCAACAAAGTATAGTAAAAATGAGTTACAATGAAATATATTTGATTGACTTTTCTTTGAAAAGCTTGCAAGGTCCCCTGGTCAAGAGGAGCTCGCATGGATGGATGGTAACCCCACAAGTCAAGTATTTCCATATGCTACCTTACATGGAAGCTTTGTCTGACTGGGTCTCTAGGTAGAAATGGCATCTTTAACTGCTGCTTTTATATAAATTCAACATACTCTCACGTAACACCATTCCTAGACTTACATGTGCTCCATTAAGGGGTCGGTTGCTTGTGTCTCATCACCACTGGGTTCCTTGGAGATTTGTTTCTGCTTTGCTAGAACACACACATGTTGTTGGTAAACTCTTATAAGTTTATGACCTGGGTTTGGCTCAAATAGTTCAAATTTAGGTAAACTCTAGATTTGAACAATATTGGTGTTCCTTATGAAGCACAATCAGCATCCTCTTTGGTCTTCGCATGACTGTCTGAGCATATTTGCAAAAGACTTAGACAATGAAGCAAAAGAACTAATATTCAAGTCATTTCCTTTTTTAGAAGTATTTTCAATTTGCAAAAAATTTTCTACAATTTGGAAACAAGAGGGCAATTTTCTTTAAACTATTTCTGCCCCAATAAAAGACCTGCATATTTTGCTCAGTTTAATTTCCTGATTTGGTGCTTCAATAAATTTTTGGCACAGGGAAGTGCCATCAAATGGTTTGCTCAATCAAAATTTGGATTTGATTCTTCTCCCTTCAACCAATGATCAAACGGTGGTGAAATTTTGTGGAAAGTCGATTACTCAAGTTGGTGGCAACTCCAACCGTGATGATGTTGGAGAGAAATCACTTTCCACCAATCCTGAAAGCAGAAGTAACAAAGTAGCAAGAAAGAATGATAGTAGTGAATTTCAAACTGTTAATATCTCTGAGCAAGTTGATGGACCTGTGCAAATGGATGTGCATGACCCACATGCAGTTTTCTCCAAGAAAGAAAGCGAAAGCCAAAACAGTCAAAGTGGTGTTAAAGTTTATCATCGATCGAAGAAAAACTCGCCTTTGAAAGAGGATCATAGCCGTGCCTTATCAGCTGATTTTGTTACTGAGGTAGGTCTTCTAAGGTTTTGCTTGACTATATCTTTGGGCTTTAGTTTGCCATGTATTTAAGGCTGTGGTTTATTAGTCCTCACTGACCAAGTACTCCATTGTCAAGTGCTTAAGTTATTCAAGTATTTCATTAGCACTCTGTTTTTTTTCTGAAATTTGAGGCCAATGTGTGTTGAGTGTGAATGTGTGATGCATGCTTACTCCTACTAATCCACTTAAATATCTTGGCATTATTTCTTGAAATGCTCAAGTAGTTCTATATCGTGTATGGGCAAATTTGATTCTACCTAGTTGAGTTGTGCTGATTTTTGTGCTCAATAGTTGAGCTGCCTTTTGATATCACATCCCTATCAGAGAAGCTTGTACAGCTTGATCAAATGGTCAAGCACGTTGTTTGGCCCCACCGAACAGAAACTCTGTAGCATCGACCAATCCTCATCTATGTATATCCTGTTTACCTTCTTTGGTTACTTTTTTATGCTGATGGACTTTTGTATCTTCATTGAAAGCTTTGTAGAGAACTTCAATTCTTTTTACAGTTCTCATTTCACAAGTTTTGAGACGAATTTGATTCATTGAGTAGATCAAATACAGTTTGAGATTATTGTTGATAAAAGATACTCTGGTCAGACCAAGATATTTGATGACTTTTAAAAATGACTGTATATTCACGTTGACAGGAAGTTGCAGCTAAACATGCATCGAAACCTATTGATGGTGGATGTAGTAATGACATGCTTGGTGCTACAAAGTACGTCAGCAACCACTCACCTGTTTGCTGTAGCATGCAAGGAAGCAGACTTACAAAGGATAGTCCTTTACCACAAACTGAACATCATGGGAGGGTAGGCCTTACCTTAACTCCTGGAAAGCCACCGGATCAAGCTGCTTCCAGTCTACTTTACCGGCTTAGGCAGAAGCTGGTACTTGCTTTGTGATTGAACTGCATAGTGCTTCCTATTTCTTGTGTTGTCTGAGCTTAGTAGTTGAACCTTAATGAACCTGTCTTTCGTACATCATCTTGTGGTTGCATGTTGGATGACAGTGCATGATTTTTATGCATATTTTGATGTGCTACCTCTTCCCCAAAACAGTTTTATGCAACTTTAAAATTTATGCAAACTAAATGAAAAACATGAATCCTTGTTTTATGTATACTTTATTTGTTGGTTCAAATAAATTTATGACATGTATGTAAGTTGTCTAACTCTTGAAAAAATTAGTTTTGTTTGATAAAATAAGACTTTTTGGGGGATACATAAATATTTGAAGCTCTATTATTTTGGAGTGAGGGAGTAATTTATTAGATTTGAAGAAAATAAACACCAGTTCCAACAAGGGAGTCTTTGTGGACTCTAATAACTACTCTGTATATTGCTGTATCTGGTATAATTGTATTCTCTACCTTTCCATGTTTCCCATTAAAAATTGCATTTCACTGTGAGTAGTTACCACTGCCATTGTAATAATCACTCTGACTTCTGTTTTCACTCAGTATGAGCAACTAGAGTGGGTGGAAGCTGAAATATTGCAGTGTGATAAGGATATTCAAGCTGCCTTAAATGGTGTGATCTCTTCTCTAGTATCATTTCTCTTTGCCTCGATGGCCATTGCACTAAGGCCACCTAAGTTATAGACATTTGAATTCTGGACTGTTTTTTTTTTACAATAAGTAATAACCATGTCTGTTTGCATTGTTGGTTTTGGGGTGAGCTGGGTGGGGTGAGGGAAGGAGGAGGGGGTGGGGGTTATAGCAGTCCTTTTAAGTGAAATAAAGGGTTATTTTTTAGTTATATTCATTCTTTGATCAGTATGTGTATTGGTCTTTTTTTTGGTAAAATGTAATTGTGTAAATATAGATTATGAGAACCCAAAGGGAGATATACATGTATGAAGTATATAAGGGGCATGCCCCAAAAGAAGTGTCAAACAACCACCATAAGCTACAAGCAAAAAGCCCGAGCGAAGAAACAGTAACCTCCAGAAAGCCAAAACAAGAAGGCCAAAACTCAAAAAGTGAGCAAAAAAGAGGGATAGAGTCTGTACAAAACTTTGCAAGTCATAAGGCTCATCAAAATAAATAGCATTGCTGAATCATTGTGATTAGATATCTTGTGTTCATAAAAGAAAGTCTTGATGCCTTCCCAATTAGTCCCCTTCACTGTTGCTCTTTATGTAAGACTCTCTCCACCTTGCCAAGTGTACTGAGCTGCGAATTAAGCTCCAACCAGCTTCTATCCTTAGCCTAGACCTCCGATGTGATAGAGCAGGAGAAATAAAGATGAGCTATAGATTCCAACTCCACACTGCATAACAGGCATGTCTATCAGTGACAGGGTTAACTGGGACAATTTCCCTTCTTCCCTTGTATTCATTCCCTTTTTACATGCAGGGTATATCATCACGATATATGGATCTGTCTATTAAGAAACAGTTTAGATACATCCTGTGTGTGTATATATACATATATCTAAGCTGGGTTAGCTGGTTGACAGACTACTAATAAACTGAATGTGCAGAAACTGGATGAACTGTGTCATCAGTAGAAGTGGGCATTACCAGCACATCGAGTCCTTCACAGGTACTATATAAAGTATAAACGACTTTACAATGTTCTATAAAAAAATCTGGCAGCGGGTATTGACTGGGCTGAGATTTGTAAAACCGGGGTGATAGTAAAGTTAGTACGTCAGTGTAGTGATCAAGTGGGATTTGTCCATTTTTAATGGAGATAAAAGTGTCATTTTTGACACTGTTGTAGCTTTGCATAATAATGGTGGTTAAGATCAAAATGACAAATTAAACTTCCTTTGCGTCTTATTTTATATGAAGCTTTGGAAAGCAAATGCAACAATTATCGAGCAAAAACAACCTTTTTGTTATATAGGGATAAGGTTGCGTACGTTTTGACCCCTAAACATCAGCGTAGTTGGGATTACACTTGTTGTTTTCTTGTGATCAAGTAAAAAATGCTCTGTAACAGTGCACAGTACCTATTCATGTGATCATTGTCAGTTTTGCCCCTTTGCAGATGGGTTTTGCTGCCAATGCCATTGTTAAAGGTCCGGGCTATATATGCCAAAAAAGAATTACTACTCCGTACTTTGCAGTGGTTAGCTTTGTACCCTTGTTAAATAGAGCTTTGAATACCTAAGACATGCTGTAAAATTTCTGGCTATTCTGCAATATGCCTACCAAAAGTGCACTTCTTTACCTATCTTACCAATGGCATGATACACTATAAGAATATGATTTGGATGTTTAGTGATTCTTATGGGAAGTATTTTCCATGGAATCACTTTTCAGTGGAAATCTAAATCCCACCCTCTCCACGAAACAACGAAAGGTTTTCGCTTCGATTTCATGAAGATTATTAAAAGTATTGAGTAGTATAAAATTATTTATGATTTGCTTAAATGATACGTTGTGTTTTGGACTACACATTCTTTTTCTACAAAGGAAAAGATAAAAAGTATGAAATTATTTTTAGAATGGAGGAAAAAATGTAGGAAATTGAAGTCATGTGTGTGGGATAGAAAGTATAAAAGAATGTGATTGAGAGCGCAAATTGTGTGTACGAAATTGAAAAGAGTTAAGAAACAAAAATATTTGATAAAAAATTAAACTATGTTGTTGAGAGCACAAATTATACGGTACATGTGGCTGTATTGTTATTCTGGTGCAGCGAGTAATTAGATCGAAGGAAAGAGAGGCGCACATATGAAGAGGAAGCAGACAATCGTTCGAAAGCAGAACCCTAATGCGAGGAGGGTGCCGACTGCGGACTGCTAGATGCTATGTGATGAACCCACCAATGGTGGAGATATGCAATGAAGATGATGAAATGTATGTTATTTGAGAATGAGCACTTTCTTATTTGAGAATGAGAACGACTTTATTTCAAAAAAAATACCACATTATTCGTAAATGAATATGATAATTATATTGAACAATTGTGTAAAAATAAGTAGTACGTTATTTTAGAATGAGCACTACGTTATTTTAAAGAGCACTATGATTGGTTTTAATTACACAAAATCCGAAACAAAATTTGTGAGACACAAAGAGGAGGGGGTAAAAGCCCAGATTCATAGCAATTTCAACTATAGCCCTAGAATAAGTACACGGCCCGGCCCGGCCCAGAAACTAACTCAGACTCCAGGGCTCTAATTTCTCACCACCAGCGACGCCGATACCTGCGCGCTTGACGGCGTCGAAAAGCGGCGCCACCATCTTACGGTGGTGGACGGGCCTGGCGAGTTCTTCCCGGTGATCGATCTCGACGAGGGAGACGCGGGCTTCCTTGAGGCGGTGGCCGAGCTTCTCGCCGACTCTGGCGGCGATCTTGGAATCCCACAAGTTGTGGGCCCTGGGGAAGCGGTCCAGCTTGGCTCGGTTCTGGGCCGCGAACTCCGTCTCGGCCGATGAGGCCATGGCGATGATGGAGGCCGTCTCGGGGTTGGTCACCTGAGCTGTGATTTTGCGGCAGGAGAGAACTAGCCGGAGTAGGTGGCGCTGTGGCGTTGATGCGGCGGCCATTTCTTCTTCTTCTTCTTCCTCACACCAAATTAAAAAGAGCAGTAAGGCATGGGTCGATTCCGGACTAAGGACGTAGGAATCACACAAAATGGGATAAAAAATGCAACATTTTTTTAAATAGGTTTTCAAACTTTTTAGATAAATATTAAACTCCGTTTGGTATACGAAATTAAAACTATGAAACTGAAATTGAAGACAAGAATTTTAATTTTATTGTTTGGTAGCACAAAAAAATGTAATTTTAGAATTGACAGTGCTAGAAATGAATTGAAATTTGAAAATTTTAGTTTCATCTAAATAAATATCATAAAACATCAACTACAAATTCAATTCTAATTCCGTGTACCACATGAACTCTTAATTTTCTTTGTGTCATTGTTATTAATGAGTATTGTCAATCTCCTAATAAAAAATATCAGTAACGATATCAACGATAATAGTGTGGAAATTGTAATGTCAGTTGTTGCAATGTCTATCAACATTGTTTGACATTGCACTATCAATCAATGATCATAATGAGTGTCAAAATAGACAAATCAAAAATGGGAAAAATGCCTTAAATGCCTTCATTTAAAATAAGGAGAGTAAGAAAATAGAGGGTACAACCCAACAAAAAATTACGGAGTATAAAATAGAGCTACTTTTGTACCATTTCCTAAACATGATATAGAGAACTCTTTATTTCTAAAAGAGAAAAGTGCATGGATTACCCTCAAACTTCTTCGAAAGTGCACGATTTACCCCTAAAGAATAAGAAGTGCACCAATCACCCATCAAATATGCAAACTATTGCACCAATGGTCCCCCATTCCGAGATCTGGCATGTGTGCAATGATTTGCATATTTGAGGGGTGATTGGTGCACTTATATTCTTTAGGGGTAAATCGTGCACCATCGAAAAAGTTCGAGGGTAATCCATGCACTTTTCTCATTTCTAAAATGGCGCCACTTTTGTTGCTAGTGTCTATGAGAGGAAAGCAACCTCATCTTGTCTCCTCTTGTGCTTGTCTTTCATCTTTTAATTTTCTGATTTTTTTCTCTCTTTTCAACATTTAAGAATAGCTCCTTTCATGTGCTCTCATCTATGTCTTCACCAATCCTATAACAAAAATTGAGATAGGCTAGAAAACGTAACGGTAAAAAAATATACACAAATTGTCAGATGACACTAGAACAAATATTACACAAATCCTTCTTCAAATTCAAAAGAGGTGTGATAAAAGAAGTGGTAGAGCAATTTCAAATCACTTCAATAATGATCCAAAGATCGTGGACATTACTAAACAAAAAAATATTATAGACGAATATAGGGGTTGAAGAAAGTTGTACTGCATATCTGATTTAATTAAGTTCTGACATGATTTATTTATAATTATAATTAAAGATGTTTTAGAACTGATCTAATGTGATTTCAATAAGAATAAATAATACGAAGTAAGTAATAAGTAAATAGCATAAATCGAAAAGGAGCTTTTAATCCTATTTGTGTAGTAAACTTGAATCTCAAAGGCAACATTATATTCTTCATTCTCCAAATCTCCAATGAATCATGTTACTTGCACACCAAAAACTACACCATGTTTTGTAAGGATACACAGTGACACAAAATATTAATATGATAATGATATTTTTGTGCTAGTGGATGCCAATGTATAACATAATGTAAACTTTTTTAGTGTACACCCTTGCACAATTATTCTCCAAATCACATTAACACGCCAAAATCATATTACAAACACCAATTCCAAATTTTAAACAAAAAGAATCTTGATAATTAAATTTCGATAATACTAAACTCACCAAGTATGATATTATAAGTTTGACACAAGTACTAAATATATGCACAAACAATGATTGTTTGCCCATTACAAACAACAATTGCAAGTACATATTTGTAAAACACACTTGGCGATGTATCAAACTCTTATTCTCAAACTTGATGAGCTTGGAACACAACTCATTAAATTTAGCTTAAAGCACCCCACTTTTGACACAAACAAGATGGTGTCAAGGGTCAAAGTTGGAACACACTTAACATTTTTTCCACATAAGGGGCAAATTGAGAAAAACATAACTTTTGACACCACTCTTACACCAAAATCAAACACACTCACAACATAGTTATTACCCCACTTTGAATTGGTGTTTGGCTTTGGTGTCAAAAATGATGTCAAAAGTGTAGTTCTCCAAGTTTCTTCCAAAGGTTATGCTTGGTTGGCTCGAACATTTGAACACCAAAATTTAGCCTCAATCTTATAGACGTTACAGACACACGGAATAGTGTCAAATGTCTGTAATATCTGGGTTAAATTTTGGAGTTCAAATGTTGGAGATAACACTTTCCTTTTTCCAATAATTACAGTAAAAATCTTGCCGATGATCTTCATCATCAGAAGCTGTAATCCGGTTTAATTACAGTAGATACCCTCTTGGATCCCGCTCCATTCTCTTCCCCGATATCTTCAACTCCTCCTCCTCCTTCTTCTTCCCCTGAAAAAGCGGGATGAATGAGAATGTAGTTCAACAGACGGGTCCCTCTCAGGGCGTTGGTCAACGGCAGGTGCCCCTCCGGCACATCATCGCCGAGCTCCCAACTGAACTCGTCGGGAAAGGAGCGGTAATTGTACTGGACCACCTCCGTCTCCAGCTTCTTCATCCACCCGATCTTCATGAACAGCTCCGTGAAGTCCCCGTCCACCCTGTCCCAGATCTTCTTCTGCACGCTGTAACCGAACCGGCCGTCGCTGTATTTCCGCCACAGGGCGTCGATCCGGCGCAGATCCGGCACGGGGATGAACTGGACTTCCGAGAAGAACACGTACCCGCGCTCCTGCGCGGCGTCTCCGGCGAGCGCGATGAGCAGGCGGCGCGTCTCCTCGTCCGCCTGCCGGAAGTTCTGCGCGGACAGGTGTCGCTCGAGGAGATCGAAGGAGGCGGCGGCGGACTGCGCGGTGGGAGCGACCGCCGTGGGGGCGGCGGAGAGGATCGAGAATTTGTAGACCCCGAGGGAGACGGCGACGGTGGTGCAGGCGGGGGTGGGGGGTTTCTTGAGGAAGAAGGAGGAGGAGGGGGAGGAGGTGAAGTCGGAGTGGCTGCGGCGCAAGGTACGGCGGTGGCCGCCGCCGTGAGGGGGGTTGTGAATGGAGGGCAATGAATTGGTAGTAGCCATATCCTTAAGGTTGGGGATTTTGGGAGAGAAGAAATGGGGGAGAATTTGAAAGGTTAAGAAAGGGAGAAGAAGAAGAAGATAAGAGTGGGGGGAAAGAATCTAAAGAAAGCGCGTGATTGGATAAAAATTCAGTCAGTATCGTCCATACACACCATACACTCTTTAGTCACACTGGCGCTGTTTAAACGGGGACCAATGAACATGTTTTGGGGTATGTTTGTTTTGGAAAAAAATTGAGGTCCTTGCAAAATTGTTACTCAAATATCAACCGTAACATAGTTACACCAAAAAACATATCCCAATATAATAAAAAATATACACTAATATTTTGATTATTTATATTGACATAAAATGCTGGTGCATTAATAAAAATTTATACGGAGTACTTGCAAACATATATGCAATGTAAAAATTGGGGTACAAATAGCTTAATCTCTCAAATATTATAAGTTGTAAGCTAACCGATTAAGGTTGGGTGGCGAGGCAGGTGACCGTCTTGTCACCTCAGCCTTAATTGGTTGGTTTTTTCATTTGTCTTGCATGGCATCACCATTCTTCCACAATTTGAGAGCCATGCACGAGGTAGTTCTTTCTTCTTCTTTTTTTTTTTGTAAAAAAATAATCTTAGAAGAAGTTGGAAGAAACTGAGAAGAGTGGGAAAAAACTAGAAGAAGATAAAAAACAGAAAAGATTTGGAAAAAGTGAAATGAGTTTGAAGAAATTGAAGGGAGTTGGAACAAAACTAGAAGACATTTGAAAGAAACTGAAAAGAGTTAGAAAAACGGGAAGGAGTTGGAAAAAGTGGGAATTGGAAAAAACTCAAAAGAATTATTTTTTATGAAAGAATTTAAAAAAATAAAAAGTATTTTATAAATTTCATATTTTATTTAAACAATAATATGCTGTACTTTTTAAATTTTAAATTATTTTTATTTTCTTTTATGCCATTATTTTTTATCCATATTCTAATTTTTGTGACTCACACTCTTTGTTTCCTTTTTAAAATCAATGATGGGGCAAGGTTTTGGAACCCTAACTCCCAGACTGATTGCGATGGAGGACCGACGGTGTACCACAACGAGCATACACGAGGAGAGCGACGATGAATGGTGACAGTCTGAAGCGACTACAAGCGGCAAATCCATCGCTAAAGTCTGAAAAATCCAGCATCTATGGTTGTTTGTTGGTATAATCTTCATATCCAAGTAGTTTTTCATTCCCTTCCTTGCATAGCGTAGATTGTGTTTATTGTTTATTTTAGTAATATTGCTTATGTTTTAGTACTTGAATAGATTTGAAATGGCCTTGAAATGGCCTTTTGCGTGTGTTGAAAAAGGTGGATATGCTTTTATTTTAAATCCAATATGTGTTAGTGTGTTTGTTGTGTTGTTATGGTGAATTAAATATATTTACTCTTTTAATGGTGAATGCAAAATGAGAATGTTTCAAATCTCTGATACCGGAGAAGTCCACCATTTCTTAGCCATAGCAAGGTCTCAACAATTTATGTGTCTCTATAATGGTAAATTGGTAACTATAATTTATATTCAAGACACAACTTTTTAATAAATCGTGACATTAAATCAATGTGTTATTTAATTAAGATAATAATAATATTATGAAAATAAATCTAAATTATTTTTTAAGTTATTGTTGAAAGAAATTGGAAGAAGTTGAAAAAATATATAAGAGATTGGAAGAAACCAAATCAAGTTGAAAAACTAGAAATTATTGGAAGTAACCAGAAAAGTTAGACTAAACTATAAGAAGTTGAAAGAAATTCAAAAAAGTTAGAAAGTGTTGAAAATTAAGAGATAATGCTTAAATAAATAGAGCCTACTTTTTTTATGAAAAAAAAACAAGTAAATAATTTTTAAAAATTAGTATATATCAAAAAATGTAAAAATAATAAAAATAATGACTTGTCACTGCTGCATGATATGTCACTCCAATTGCTTGCCACCTAATCTTAGGTGGTCGAGCCCAATTAATTTAAGTGTGTAATGCTTGGAGACGTTAATCTGCAGACTGACCTTTTGGGATTTTTGAACATAATAGTGAGTAATATGTGGTCGTGTTTTGAACGTTTTGTTTAAATATTTGGTATTCAAATTCGTTATCAAGTCGCCTTTATAGCTCAGTGGTAGAGCTCCAGTCTTGTAAACTGGAGGTCCGTAGTTCGATCCTGCGTGGAGGCATGTTTTTTATTTTTTTCTTCTAAGATATATGCGAGTAGTGTTGTAAACTAACCGAATCGAAGAATTCTTTTTTTTTTTTAATTTTTTTGAACCCGAATCCGAATGTGACACGAATGAAAATAAGATTTGTATTTTATTAATATTCGATACTTAACGAATCCTATTCGAATAATCATACTCCGTAATTTAATTATATGATGGACCAACATTGATTTTGAATAATTAAACTTACAATATCTCTTATATTATATCGAAAAATATTAATACATTTGCGTCTTACAAAAATCATATGATATAAAACATAATTATTAAAATCATATGCCTTGGATTTTTGTGTTACGTTAATTTGACAAAATATTAGTAATTTAATTGTACTTTATACTATTCTGTATATGAGTTTGCTTGACTATTGATTTTGAAAGCATAGTCTATGTTCGATCTTGCGTGGAAACAGTTTTTTCCCAAATATACTACAAAGTTTTTTAAATTTATTTCTTCAGTTAAAACTAAGAGATATGCGTGTAGGGTTGTAAACCAACCGAATCGAAGCAAATACCCAATGTTTGAATTTGTATTTGTTTAATTTTCTCGAATACGAATCCGAAATTGAATATGAAACGAATACAAATAAGATTTGTATTTTATTAATATTCAAATATTTAAAAATCATATATGAATATTTGAATAATCATACTCCGTAGTTTAATTATACTAGAATCATACCTGTGCGTTGCACGGACAAAAGTTTGTTATGTAATAAGAATATAAAATTATTTTAAGATTTTATACTTCAGTATATATTAATATATGCAAATATTATACATTGAATTTTAGGAGATCAAATATTATTTTACATTTAAAAATTGGAAGCAAAATCATTACAGAATACACTGCTTGAACTTTTACTAATTATGAAATACTTCTTTATAAAAAACATTTATTGTGCAATGTTTAAGTTGCTCATTTTCATCATATATTAGTATTTTTAATCCACTACGATTTGTAACTCGCGAGACAGAAACATAAATTCTCCATGACTAAAAACAGGTTTTTTAAGAAAAAGTCCTACCACTCCTACGTGAGACAATGATTGACCCTGAATTTTGTTAATGGTCATTGCATAGGAAACCATTATAGAAAACTGTCTTCTTTTGAACTTGAAAAGAATACGTGGATCTGAAGGAGTAAGATTATAGAAAACTGTCTTCTTGGGAGTAAGATTAATGGTCATTGCATAGGAAACCATTGCATAGGAAACCATTATAGAAAACTGTCTTCTTGGGAGTAGGATTGTAAACCAACCGAATCGAAGCAAATACCCAATGTTTGAATTTGTATTTGTTTAATTTTCTCGAATACGAATCCGAAATCGAATGTGAAACGAATACAAATAAGATTTGTAATTTATTAGTATTCAAATATTTAAAAATCATATACGAATATTTGAATAATCATACTCCGTAGTTTAATTATATGATTGACTAACATTGATTTTGAATAACTTAACTTACAATATTTCTTATAATATATGTTATAAAACATAACTATTAAAATCATATGCTTTAGATTTTTTGTGTTACGTTGATTTGATAAAATATTAGTAATTTAAATGTACACAAAATTCGAACATATGCAAAATAACAAAACCAAGTACGTCATTTGTGTTATGTTTCTCCAAATAAGCGAAAGGTTGGACTAGTGTTTGGGAATAGATAAATTGTTCCAAACAAGTTAAAGTTTAGTAACTCATTGAAATCATGGTGCTACTTTGATCATAAAGCTTAGGAAAGAAATATGAGAGCATGGATACCTCATTATAAGTCTTCATTTCTTGTTCTCCTTTCACCTTAATTTGATTCACCTTAATTTGATTGATATTTTGGTGTTTTGTTTGAACCAAAATAATTTGACCAATTTGAACACTTAGTTCTGTCCAATTTAAATGACATTAAGAGGAAAGAATATATATCTCTAATATAATAAGTACAACTCTTCTAAATAAAATGATCCAAAGTTGCATTTTGGCCAACAAAATTCATGCAAAATGAAACACGTCTTATTTTTATTATTATTACTGCTCCTACTATACTATACTAGAAGTTGTGCTGCAGGAACAAGTTTTCTTGAGGGGAGGCTGGGCCGATCTCTTCTTCCAAGCTCACCAAGTTACCCTCGCCCCCTCCGGCACCGCCGCCGTTATTCTTCCCCTCGACGTCTCCGTCGGAGATTGACGACTTCCTCCGCTGCGAAGACGCCACAGACGGGAAAGTGATCCACGAGGGCGCCCGGAATTCCGACCTCATCGGGTCCTCCGCGGGCTCTCCCCCGTCCGTCTCCGACCGCTGGGAAGACCTCTGCGAGGCCTTCTTGTGCATCCTGCTGCTCCCGAGCACCACCTCGGTGGGCAGGATGGGCTGCCCGCTGCTCGGGCTGCCCATCAGGAGAGCGAGCGCCCGCTCCAGGGACGTCGTCACTCTGTCCATCGACGGCCTCTCCTTCCCCCTCATCCGCACGCATTTGCTCGCCACGTTCGCGATCCTCCTCAGGGCTTCGACGTTGGGCGGGAGTTTCAGGACGGGGTCGAGGACGGCCTCCACGTCCCCCGACTTTATCAGCGGGACCGCCCACTCGACGATGTTCCCCTCCTCGTACTGCATGTCGATCGCCTTCCTCCCGCTCAAGATCTCGAGAAGCAGAACTCCAAAGCTGTAGACGTCGGACTTGGTGGTGAGGTAGTGGAGCCTGTAGTACTCGGGGTCAAGGTACCCCAGGGTTCCCGCAGGCAGCTCGGCCAACGGGGAGCTACTGCTCGCGGGCCCCAACAAGGAGAGCCCGAAGTCTGCCACCCTCGCATTGTGCTCTTCATCTATAAGAATGTTGGACGACTTGATGTCGCGGTGGATCACGGGCGGGCAGGCGTACCCGTGGAGGTACTCGATCCCACGGGCAGCTTGGACCGCTATCGTGACCCGCCGCACCCAATCCATCTGCTCCTTCTCCGCCCTGCTCTTGCAGTGGAGGTGCTGGTGCAAGGAGCCGTTGGCCATATATTCATACACCAAAAGCCTCTCACCGCCTTCCTCGCAATACCCGAGGAGATTGAGGAGATGCGCGTGGTTCAGCCTCGACAACAAGTCGAGCTCCGTGTGAAATTCTTTCGAGTTCTTCTTCATGTCCGGGGACACGACCGCCCTCTTGACGGCAACCACCGTCCCGTCGCCCAAAACCCCTTTGAAGACACACGAGAAACTCCCCTTTCCGACTTGGGACTCCTCCCGGAAACCGCCTGTCGCTCTCTCCAGCTCCTCGTAGCTGAACATCTGGGCCCTCCTGATCTTTAGATCCTCCGGGAGAACTTTCCCCCTCTCCTTCTGGAATGTGCAATTTCTTTTCTTGACGGTGGACTGCTTGCCGGAACAAGTGCAGCTCCGTAGCCGGTAACGGACGTACATGACGGAGGTGAGGGAAACTATGCTGACCAAAAACACTGCAAAAGCGACTCCGGCGAGAATGACCGGCAACTGGAGGGGCCAGAGCTTGTTGGAATAGTTCTCCCCGTCGGAGCAGTGGGAGGAGCAGTCGGAGGAAACGCAGGAAGAGCAGTTGTAGGCGCACTGGCGGTCAGATGCGGGGGAGCAGCCGGCGTATTCGTACATCTCAACAGGGCATCCCGCAGAACAGGGGAGGCAAATCCCGTTTTCCGGCGACTTACATGGAGAGATTCCACTTTCGTTGTTGAACCCGTAGAAACCTGGCGCACAGGGGCGGGGCCGGCAGATTCCGGGAGAAACCGCCATGGGGAGTGAACTGGGGAACCCAACTCCCCAGCAAACCGGCTGCAGGGACGACTCGGCGATGATTCCGCAAGTGAAGTAATCTCCGGCGGCGATCTCGTACAGCTTCACGCCGCCGGGAGGCGGCGTCGACTTCTCCACCCGATACCCCCAGCAGACAATCCCGCGATCAACCCTCCGAATACCGCAAGCGTGGAACCTCCCGCCGACCACCGTCAGCAAAGGTTGCCTGGGTTCCAGCCGGGAAACAGTGATGGCCTCTCGGAGATCCAAGCTTCTCCCCCAACAAACAACCCGAGAATCCGACCCGTCAAGAATCCCACAAACATGGTACCCGCCGGCGGCGATCTTCCGAAACCTCGTACCCGTCGGAATCAAGCTGATAACCCGGCTGCTAGTCTCGTCCCCCCAACAGAACACGCTCCGGTTCTGGGAAAACAACCCGCAGGTAAACTCCGACCCGGAAGAAATCGACCCGATCCGGCCATCAAACTGGAAGCTTCTCGTCATATTATACCCCCAGCAGTCAACAAAAGAAACATTCCGGTACCTCCTCCCCTGCAATGGCTTCCGGAGCCCACAAAAATGGTGATCTCCGGCGCTGATCTCCAGATACTCATTCCTCTCGTTCATGGGCTGCGGGACCCCCATCTGGACGAAATTGCTGTTCCCCCAACAATACGGCTGGCCGGAGTCCATCAGAAGCCCACACACGAAGTCGTTGCCGCCGGTGATGGCGAGAAAAGCGGAGTGGGAAGGAGTGGCGTAGATGACGGCGGAATTGGAACCGTAACAGGTGACAGTGTGGGATCCGTCGGGCTTGAGGCCGCAGAAAACGGGGCCGTACTCCCCGTACGAGACGGCGATTGTGGACATTGAGCCCAGACCGGACGAAACCCTAAACCAGATTACCAAGAACCCGAGAAAAACCAGAGCTTTATCAAGAGATTGACGCCGCCATCTCGCCGGAATAATGATGCCCATTACCGGAAAGTTTTCAACTTTTTTCAAATATATATATATATATCAATCAAACGAGGCTTACTCAAATAAGGCAAAAGAGATCCAAAAATGATAATCATCAGAGCCAGAAAGACAATAAATATGACGAATCATAAAAAAGAACACAACCCATGCTCCAAGATCACATCTTTATCGATCAAGAACCCATTATATATGTATCAGAACTGCAAGAAAAGGGGGCTGCTCTTCGGGGGCGGCCATTCTTCCACTCCATTAGTGTCTGGGTTTTTTGTTCTTCAGAGAATCAGAGTGATTGTAATCGCATTGAAGATCGAGGCGTTGAAAAGAAGAAGTCCTTCAGTCAAGATCTTTATTTGGGAGGAAGATGATGGACATGGGCATAGCTAGCGGCAGGGGAGATGGAGGCGATGAACTTTGAGAGAGAGAGAGAGAGAGGCATTAAGTGCAAATGGAAGAAATGCAGGTTTCTACAGAGGAGCAACGGGTGGGTGGAAGCAATAAATGGGGAATTAAATGGGAAAACGATCTTTGTTTTACTCATTTCTGGATTAGTGCACACATGTATGTCCACATTTCCCCTCCATTCTCCCATGCAATCCCAATGTACTTCTCCTTTGTCCTTTTCACTCCTCTTTCATTTGTTTCTGTTGATTTTTTTAATATAATTTGAATCATACTATAGCTCATGCTACTTCTATTGGTCTCGTTTAATCACTATTTAGTAATATGAATTAATGTCATAATATGAAAGTGTTTAAAATATTGTAAAAGAAGTACTCCCTCCGTCCGGAAATGTTCTTCCCGTGTTGACTTGGCACGCTTATTAATGAACAGTTAAAAAAATGCAAAATTTTCAAAAATGCACATACTATAAACTTTTAAATCTCATTTTATTATTAAAAAAGTACTAAAAAAGTATATTTGTGATAAAATAGAAGGGTATTATTGATATTTAGTCTTAAAAAGTATACTAAAAAAGGAAATGTGAAGAATATTTCCGGACAGACCAAAAAGGAAAATGAGAAGAATATTTTCAGACGGAGGGAGTAATGGATATAGGGATGGAGGGGGTGTGGATGCTTGGGGTACACTTTTGGTGTACCCCTAGCATTTTCCATAGATATAACCATCCGTATAATTTGTTTAAACCTTTAAAAACCATCCGTATAGACAAATGACTCCACCCATTAAATTATTTTTAAATATCAGTTATATTATACTGCCTTTCTCTTATACTTTGTAATAAATTTCTTACTTTGAATTTTGTGTTCAAATTTTTTGAATTCTGATCACATCTTATAAAAAATACATTAAATTTTCATACACGTTTAATACCAATAGATTCATTATTCTGAAATATAGTTTTGAAATAATTTTCTTTTATAATATATATATATATATATATATATATATAGATACTAATAACCAAAATGTTGCATCGGAGACAATAAAAAATCAAATGCGAAGTTAATTTTAGGCGGATGGAGTAATAAATAATTAATACAATTACTAATTTTAATTGTTTCCAATAGATGGTTTTTTCTCTATAACTACATATTTACTTGTACACTATTCTTCATTCTTACTTCGTACTCGGTATTTCACTATTTCTCAAATAAATATTTATATTAAATTATTGTAAACTTTAATCTCTAATTTGATTTTTATATACGAAGTATATAAATTCATATAATTTCTAAATATTTAATTTAATATCTTTGTAATAATTTTACAATTTTACTCATCACTTATATATATATATATATATATGTATATATGTATATATATGTATGTATGTATGTATGTATGTATATAAAGTAATACTCCCTCCGTCCGGAAATATTCTTCCCACTTTCCTTTTTGATCCGTCCGGAAATATTCTTCCCATTTCCTTTTTTAGTATAGTTTTTAAGGATAAATATCAATAATACCCTTCTATTTTATCACAAATCTACTTTTTTAGTACTTTTTTAATAATAAAAGGAGATTTAAAAGTTTATAGTATGTGCATTTTTGAAAATTTTACATTTTTTTACTATTCCTTAATAAGCGTGCCAAGTCAACACGGGAAGAATATTTTCGGACGGAGGGAGTATCATTTTATATGATAATACGGAAAATGAACTATTTAAAGTAATAAATAAGGAAGTACAATTAGGATTTATGAATAACTAAATGGTGCTCCTTTAAAAAAATGATGGTTCCTAACCAATTCCCACCAACCCCCCCCTCATAACGCCAATTTGCTACAATAGTGCCTCATATCGCAAATTTGCGACAATGGTGCCTCATATCACAAATTTGCTACAACGACCATTGTAACAAATCGACAATACCATGAATAAATCACCCTAAATAAGAGCAAGATATAAAGCAAGTACCAAAAATTGAGTTACATGTTTGTATTCTAACAATTTGAGTAGACATTGTGTTAATGTGACATTATGTATAGATATTCCATAATACTTTTTGATAATATATATAGTCATGATTGACACTGTACTTATATTTTAACTGCTATTTCTAGAATAAAAATATGAATTTCTTATTTTGATATATTTTTAATATTTTACTCCTAATTTAATCTTTTTGTCATTATGATTTAGAACGGGGTCTAGGGGGTGCAAGATGATTTAGGTGGAAGAGTGGTAGCGTAGGAACAATCAAATTTTCAAACATAGCACCCTAGGAGGCTCGAGTCAACTAATGACATTCAAAACGAAAGTCACAAGATTCGGGTTATTAAAAATACTCCTAGCTTAATCTTTTTTCCATTATGATTTAGAAGGGGGTCTAGGGGTGCAGGATAATTTAGGGGGGGGGGGAGTGGTAAGGGTAGGAACAATCAAATTTTCAAACATAGCACCATAGGAGGCCCGAGTCAACTAATGACATTCAAAATGAAAGTTTCGAGATTCGGGCCATTAAAAAAAATGATACGGAGTATTTAAATATGGACGATATAGAGATGACGTGAATGAGAGAGAACAATTAAATGGATGAATTATACAAAACAAGAGATGTAGATGCTCTTAGAAAGAGAAGCCCATTAGCTATCCTTGAGTCCCTCACTTGGTTTTGGACACGTTTTCAGTTCAGATCAGAACAGCTCAAAAAAATTAGATCAGATTAAATTTTCAAAAATTCAGATAAAATGAGACAAACAGAACGCAAATTGATTTTGGAACGGGACGAGAGATGAAGATGTGGGAATGAAGGTGGGGTACCATACCAAAATGAGGGAGGGAGCCGGTTCTGGTTACCAACATTTAGGTAATCGAATAGCCTGTTCGGTACCAATTCAAAAATGTTTTTTCTTTTTTCTTTTTTCTGGGGCTGCATTGGCTGCTAACTGTTGCTGAACAATTATATAGCCATTTCAAACCGCTCTATGTGGCAAGGGCGAGGGTACGTGAATAATTCCCTCCAAATCCTATAACTTGCATGATACGGAGTATAACCCATTGCGTTACTCCATTTTTTCTTCCTTGCAGGTTGGAAAGTGGGAATTATATGCTCAACGAATACTTGCTTCATTTCATATTAACTGTTCATATTTCATATTAACGGTTCATTATGATTTTTTTAAATACATTGAAAAGTGAATGAATGCAGACATAAACTAGGCTTATTCATTTATTTTTCAATATATTTAGAAAGTGTTACTCCAATAGATTATCATTCATTCATTCATTAGTTATAACCCAATATAACTCTAAACTCTATTCGGGTATGAGAGGTCAGCATGTCCACAGTTTTATTCCTATGAAAACATAAAGATTGTTTCTGTTCTATCCTAGATGCGTCGCTGCATTTACTATCCAAAACTTCATCAAAACTAAATAACAAGGTAAAATTAATGTGCCACTTTGATTTAGTCCATTACGTACTCGAAATTAAAACATTGTCAATAATGACTATTTTAGACACCACGTATACCCTATCGTAAGCATATTTTATGTCTACATTCATTTACTTTTCAATGTATTTAAAAAGAAAGCGTACAAATGAATCTGGACAGAGGGAGTTTAAGACTTTTACTGCAACCAATGCCTGATCAATCTATTGCAAATTTGAAAAGAGTATGTGTGGAGAAGGGAACAAAAATGGGCAATAACAAGTGGGGTTCATTTATCATATGTCCATTGATTCAAGGGGATGAAGAGATATTCTCAAAACATGACAAAGGATGCAAAGTTGCAAGGAGTTGGGGGTGGGGGGGGACCAATACCTGACTTGATATTTTTGTTTTTATAAATGAAGTGAAGAATGGAAACAAACCTGCAAGATAAATGTATGAGTTAGCAAATCATCATACTGAAGCAAGTCATGGCAGAGGTGAGGTTTCTAATAATGTAACTTACCTATACATATGTGGGTGTATTTGCTGCAGCATCAATGTGTGAGGCCTTTTAAACATCAGTCATGCATCACTGTCAAGTGCCAACAAATTAATACTCCTCCTTATGTCACTCTTAAGTGTTCTCTTTTTCTTCTCCCACTTTTTATTTCTGCACCAGTTGTTTGTGTATTTCATACTTCCATCTTATTTACTCATGATAATCGACAGCTTGAGAGAGAAATAGAACTACACAAACTTTTTTTACATTGATATGTTGTGTTAGGACAGGTTAAGAAACAAATGGCAAAACATTTCAAGCACAGCATATCAAATGAAATTTCCAAAATTCAAACACAGAAGATATAGAGGGTGTTTGGGAGTTATTAACTTGTGGAGAAAGTGATTTCCACAAAAGCTGAAAGCAAAAGCACCTCATAACTACTTCTCCAAAACGGTGTTCTATCTACAAAATAGTGGTGGAGAAAACACCTTCATATAGACACTGCCACTACCACTCAAAGTAGAAGTTAAATTCTTAAACGCATCGCACTGCCAAACACCCTCATATAGGCACTACCCCATAGACCGGCGAGGGTCAGAGAGAACATAAGGTTTCCTTTTAAAAACAGGCCAACATGGCAAAAGTGCAAAACCATATAAGAACCTTGATCTTCTAATCATTTGGGTATCTAGAAAAAGGAGAGATAAAAAGTTCAAACCTTAGAGGAAAGCCGCGTGGATCTTCTAGGAAATATTTGAAGCCGGTTAGCACTTCTTAAATTTCTTCTATTGTTACAGCTATAATCCTTGTCAGATTCATCAATGCTTCTCTTTCTCCTTTGTTTCCCGTTAGATGCAAACTCTAGCCCCTGGAACAATGCACTGGGAAATACAAACACAAATAAAAGTAAACCACTTCAACCTTAGGTGGTCATACACATTGCAACAACATACTGATTTGCTAGTAGAAATTACTCGGTATAGTCTCTCCCTTTCAGATGTATGCCATTTACATTTGAGCAGCAATAAATGATGTCATTTCCCTGTAGCAAGTCCATAAAAAAGAACAAAAATTTAATGTCATCACAACCAAGTAGCAAGAAATATTATACTCTAGCATCAACCAAATTATATATCACTACCCCTGAAGAATCCCTGTGGTACAATCATGTACATACTAACAGGAGGACGCATGCGCTTCTGAAGAAATTGAAAATTCTGAAAACTTTACCACTGTGGCATCATTCACCAAAGTAACGTCGTGAAGCACCCTGGGCTTGTCATTCTGACGCATTCCTTCTTCTGCCTCAAATGTTATTACATCTTCACTCGAGAGTTGTTTATTTCCCAGGTTCTGAATCTCTTGACAAAAACTTTGAAAATTTTGTTTCTGCAAACTTTTAGAAATGTTTGCCTCATCTTCCCATCTCTTAAACCAATCTGATATGGATGAGTTCAAATCAACAACCAGGTTGATTCCCTTTTCTGATGTGACCGAAAACTCAAAAGAAGCGGGTACTGACTTGACCCCAGATACAAACGTGCTTCCAAGACTTGATTGTGGAGGATGAACTTTGACTTTTGGATTGTTGTCCAATGAGTCCATGCCTTCAAAGGTTTCAGCACGTCCTGCTACATTAGCACAAATCAACAAGTAATCAAAAACTACTCCAATGCACAAATGAATAAGCAACCAGTAAGCTTAATCTCTAAAGATAACTCCAATGCACAATCAAAGGGGAGCAAAACTGATACTTTGAATATGATTATATGAAAATCACTCCAGTGTCGTGATGGATCTTGAATCTAGGGGTAGGACGAAAACAAGGCAATGGAACAGTAGAATAAGAAATCAGGGTTCGAGTTCGAGCATGCCCTCCACTTCATTTATACATTTACATTTCCGTATGTGTAAACTTAACTACGCCACTAATAAAAGGCATCTATGGGGTGTTGGGCTCAATAGGCCAGATTATCCGGCTCAATTCACCCATCAGTATAGTTTTAACACATTTTTTGTTCGATTATCTCAGGAATCATTCAGCAGTGGATCGTCACAGAATTGGGGGAGCACTATGGGGGTGGGGGTGGGGAAAAATGAAAATCATCCAGGTAAATGGACCCAGTATCATAATGTGACTATTGCTACAGCTAGAGTCAAAATAACCTAGCAGATTTAGAGCAGCCAGTTACAGTACATAAAATGATCACCAAAACAATGAAGAAGATATTATTCAGAAGGCTTCACCTACGGCATGTAAGTGCAGATCGCAGAGACGTGATAACATCTAAGCTTCGGCGGTTTAGGGCAAACTTCACAGGTGAGAGAGATGCGGTGAGAATACGGATCCGGCGGCGGATCGGAGTTCAACCGCACAACAGCCTACTAGAATGCGAAGTACTGAGAGCTTGATCAGATCCGCCCGTTTCCAGAGCGGGAAAACTCTTTTTAGAATTAGGAACCGCCGCGTAATCGCCGGCGAAACACTGTAAAAGATAATTTCACATATTTCACTTGACTATTTTTTCCTTCAAGGGTTCCATAAAAAAGTTTCTTTCTTTAAACAAATTTTACTTAGACAATCACACACTTTCCATTTTAAACCAATACTAATTCCATCCCAAAAAGTTTCTAACATTTAACTATTTAAAATTTACAATAAAATATATATTCTAGTCATCACTTATTTTTTAAAATTTTTTACGTAATTTTAAATATGTAAGTTTTATTTTTTATTTATATAGGTCCCTTCTTTTAACAACAATAACCTATGGTTCTCCTTTCGAAAATTTGATATTTCATACCCTTAACTCTCATCCTTAAACCACTGCCCCCTTCCATGCCCCTACCCACATTCCAAATCACGAATGGACTACTGTTTTATTGTAGCAATCGGCGATTTAGGGTGGGGAGAGGGCTGGAGATTAGGGTAAGAACTATCACTTTTTTAAACGAATCATTGTAGGCGTTTTTGTCATATTATGACAACAAGGTTATCGTAATTGAAAGAATTCAAAAAATTGCTTTGTTTAGCGTGATATTACACTCTTTTTGGGACGAAAGGAGTATGTGACTACCAATACTTCTCGAGAAATGCTAAAGTCACAAATACTTTGGTTACAAAATACACAACCTTACTATTTGTGCACCTCATTAAATGAATAAAATGATGTTGAATAATTAAAAATTAAACATTTAAATACACAAATGGTAAGTTTGTGTATTTTGTGACCGAAGTGTTTGTGACTCTAGCATTTCTCATAATTCTCTCCTCTAAATAAATTCTAATCATATGCTTTTTTTAATTCTCTACAACATTCTTAAACTCTGTAAAATCAAAGCGTCAAAAAATTTATGGGATACGAGTAATGTCAACAAATTTTCCAGTCATCTCATCTTTTTTTCTTTACCCTTTTAAATTGCTAAAACTAAACATAGTGTAAATATTTTAACATTGGAAACTACTCTTTCGCTTAGAATGATTTACTTGTCCACTTTCTCTTTTTCTAAGACGCCCAAAATCAATTGATCATTTACGATCCATGCCTCCATGGCTCATTTGCACAATTTTTTATTATAATATTGGTAAAAATTAAAAATTATTACACCAATTCAATTGAAACACTTACAATGTTACAGTTGTAAAATTTATTGTTTATACTCCTCTAAACCTCCGATGAACTTCCAATCCTGCCCGTCATTAATGCACCCTTGCACCCCCCCCCCCCCCATCCAATTGCACCATCCAAAATTCATCAATTTTAATTATGGTCAATTTTTTTACTCAAAATTTGGATGGTACAATTAGAGAAATGGTACTATAAGATTACCTTCCTCTATTAACATATGTTGACGGATAGAACAAATAAGGGTCTGTTCCGTAGGACTTATTTTTTCTACTTATTACTTATTCTTATTAAAATCAGATCAGATCAGATCCAATCAGATCAGATCAGACTCAATCAGATCAGATCAGACTCAATCAGATCAGATCAGATCCAATCAGATCAGATCAGACTCAGATCAGATCAGACCAGATCCAATCAGATCAGATCAGACCAGATCAAATCCAATAATATCAAATCAAGAAAAATATAAAAGATAATATTTATATTTTTCAAGGATTAAATAATAATTACTATTATTTGATTAAATCACATTACTTTAATTAAAACTACACACACCTAAATCTTAATTAATATTATAATTTTGAATATTATTGTTGTATAATTATTATTATTATTGTTATTATTATTATTATTATTATTATTATTATTATTATTATTGTTTAGCTTGTAGGATAGAAATGATGCATGGAAGCAATGTTAAAGCTTAAAAAGTTTTATTTTTCATACTTTAAAAAAAGTTATTTTAAAATACTTGTTTATAAAATAATTATACAAAGCTTAGTTTTCAAAACTATAAATATTTTATACTTAAAAAGACTTACTTTTAAACTTTAAGATGGTATAATATACTCAAAGGTGAGTTTATGACAAATTTGATAGAAATGAAAATGATATTAGTGTTTAAAATTTTATATGATCTTTAATTTATAACATAAATTATATTATTATGTAATATGTATATAGAATGTGATAATTTAGTAGAATAGCATCAATATTTTCTAATATTTTTTTATTTTAATACCGATTATTTAGTTTTCACAAAAATTAAAAAAGTTGTGATATTGAAAAGATGTTTAATATTTTTAAAAAAAGTTTAAACATATTAATGATTAGTTGATTTTCTTATTTTACTTTTTTTTATGTATATATGAATTGTAATACTTTAAAACTATTAAATTTTGTAATAATTTTAAGTTTAATTTAAATCAAATTTAAATTCATTTACACCGGATCTAATTAGAGAAAATCAGATCTAATCAGATCAGATCAGATCCAATCAGATCAGATTCAATCAGATCAGACCAGACCCAATCAGATCAGATCAGACCCAATCAGATCAGATCAGATCCAATCAGATCAGATCAGATCCAATCAGATCTGATCAGATCCAATCAGATCAGATCAGATTCAATCAGATCAGATCAGATCAGAACTTCAAAAATTCAGATCAGATTCAATCAGATCAGGCGTACGGAACAGAGCCTAAGCCATGATAGGGATTATGGGTTAGACAATGGGTTCGAATTTACCGCATACCAAACACTAATTTCATAGGAACATGGTAATAAAATTGCACACATTTCGATTGTATGTTTTTATCCTATCCCCATGGTATGTCCATATTGATTAGCGTCCATTTGGAACTCAAAAAACGTTACAAAACCCTCGTGCATAACATGAAATAAGTACGGTTTTTTGTGTCCAAACCAATTTTTACGTTCGTTTCCAGTTTTCGCCACATGCACCGAGCCTATACTAGTCAAAAAAATATATATGAAAAACATATGCATATAAAGCCCTCCTTCAAGTTGGCTATTATTATTCAAGAGTTGTTTGGTCTGTGTGCCCAATCCTGCGAGCGACTCTACTGGGAGGATTTCATCAAAAAACAGTAAATGCAGACTGAATGGTGGACGAAACCCGGGAGGCAAGGGTCTGAGTGGCAAATGCTTGAAGCTGCTTCTTCGCATCTGGAAAGGGAAATAGACAGTTAGAGAATAATGTTCGATGCTTTGCACAAGAGAAAGAGTGATCTAATAATACTTCTGGATGCTAAGTTTTGCCGTAGTAATAAGATCATACTCGTCTCTATCAGGTGGTTAACCACTTAAACTACACAAAGATGTTGCAATATATCCAACATAGTTTTTATTTAAGGAAAAAAAACAAACATGTTGGGATGCTTCCCAATGTTGCCAAAAATGGGAAAGGTGGGTTTAAGACATTACAGAAATAGGACATAGATGAAAAGGTCTATTACACTTAAATTTGACTCCCTATACGAGATACCCACTGCTGCTGCACCTTATTTCTTGTGCATTAACCCTATGTTTGGTTTGAGGAATGTGAAAGGGAAAAGAAAAGAAAATGAGATGGAAAACACTTTTTCTTGTTTTGGTTAGAGAGGAAAAGAAAAGTAGATGGAAAAGAAAATGAGAGGAGATAATTGACTAAAAAAGGAAAACTTTCCTTCCATTTTGTAAGAAAAATGCAAGAAACCTCTCTTTTCCTTTCTTTCCAAATTCCACAAACCAAACATAGCATAAGAAGCAATACGAAAACCAGAAATGCCGCAAAGGGAATCACGGATTCACAGCTAATGATTTCTTCTACTCCATGTTAAAAAAAAGAAGTTTGCCTCCTAACCGATAGGTAAGATTGAATGATTGCATAATGTATGTTGCCTTTTGTGCACATAGCATGGGAATACAAATCTCGTGATCAACACACTGTATCCTGTATGGGTCAGGTCATAGAATCTGAGTTAGGGCCTAATTCATGGGCATGCTCAGGCCAGACTTATACTGGTCAGAGCGGGCCAACTCTTTTTTAGCAATGGGACCGGGCCATCTCTAATCAAGCATGTTGTTTTAATGAAATTAGTATTCCATGGTATGGTACTATGGTCACACAGTAAAAATAGCAACACGCAGAGTGAGATCATTCATTTGTATCTCAGAACTCATACACAGATTATTTTACACGGAATGGAAGAAACCAGCAGAAGCGATGGGTATTCGCAACTTATCTGGTTTCAGTATTGCTACTTAATGCACAACAAGATGATAAGGTTGTTAATGCCACTGTGGTTATCTCATACAGTGCTCTCGACTGACAAATACAACAACAACAAACCAGTTGGATCCCACGATAATACCCATGGAATTACTTGTCAAAGCTCGACTGACAAGTAACACATGGAATATTCATCTACACATATTGAGAGGCTCAATGAACCATCATCAACTTGAAAAGAGAGGGTTCACGCAATATAAACAAAGACTGCAGGGTGATATAATGGGTTAATATACGTATGTATCCATGTGCCTGTGTGTATTTCAAATTTTCAATATGCCCAATAGTCCAGCCCAAATGAAGTAAAACAAATGACCTCATGGGCAAGAGAGTAGCAATGGTAACTGTGTTGATTGTCGGCGAACAAGTTATGAACAATGTAAGAAAATTATAAATCAGGCCTTCTACTCTCTTTTTATCATGAAGATAGTGTTTGAAACAATTATGTGCCTGGGTGTGCATAAAAATGCAAAAATGCAATCAGACTGAGAGTATATATGTAGGTCACAAAGAAGAAGTTTTTTCTACCCACCTTTGTGGCATCTTGTAAACCCAACAATATTTGCAATGCTGAGTGTCAAGCACACTCCAATAACAAGGAGATAGTCAGCTTGGAACCTAATAAGCGAGAATATAGCGAGGAAGATCCAAGCAACCGCCTAATCACACCCCATGTAAAATATAAGATGTAGTACTACATATAGATAAATACTCCGTAGAACAACATGAAGCAGTAATGACAAATCTTAAAGATGGTATTGAGTTCCATCACTATTAGAGTATTAGCACATTAATCCCAATTGCGAACTAGTTTAGGTCGCTGGCACCAGTTTATAGTGCCGATTAATTGTATAAAATTAAGTAAATCTAAATTCATGCAAAAAACATAGTACCAATGTTTTACGCTGGATGCCACAGCCTTCATAAGAAGGAATAATGAAGTTTAGAACAAGGCACACTAAACATATGCTATACTTTCAGCCTTCACAATATGTTCGGTTTAAATAATTTGAAAGGGAAAAGAAAAGAAAATGAGAGGGAAAACAGTTTTTCTTGTTTGGTTAGAGAGGAAAAAAAGAAAAGTAGGACAAAAAAATGAGAAGGCAAAATGTACTAAGAGGAGGGAATACCTAATTCCTTCCATTTTGGTGAGGGAAATGAGAGAAAAGTATTTTCTTTCCTTTTCTTTCCAAATTCATTAAACCAAACATAGTCTTAAAGATTTCAATACACATAAATACGGAGTATATTATCTGTGTTCCTCAAAAGTTGAGCACTAAAACTGGATTACATAAATACATGATAGCATTGTTTGAGGAAATCATTTTGTGGTCATTGGTGTTTCAAAACGTTTTTCAAAGTAACTGACATTATAATTTGGTTCAAACCCATAACTGCCAGGTTGACCATATTATATCACAAGTCTAAAACAATAGGGATTTAAACCTCCAAAATAAAATATTTCAGACACCCTATAAATAAAGCATACACAAGAGTTTTCTAAATCGCCTCTCCTTTGATCGGTGTTTTATAGAAACTTAGGACGGTGCTGATTTTGAATCAAAAACAAAACATTATAGCGTATTTTCAGTTTCCAAACACTGATAACCATACTCAACATGGCCTGATGGCAAAAAAAATATTGTATGCCACACATTTTTTTACTTACTGTAAGGTATAGGGTCCACCAGAAAAGCCAAGAATCCTTCTTATTCATGCGAGCCAATGACTGCACATGAAATGATAGAAAAAATGATACGCAATTTAAATGAAATAGCAAAAAAAACTCAAACAATTATCAGAAATAGATTTTAGAAAAAGACACTGTATCAAACTATCAATTGCTAACAGATGCACAAAGCAACTGCAAGGGATTGCTGCTCACCTCTTGGTCGAGGGACTCAAATTTCCACACACTTTCACCCGCATCGTTAATTTCATTCCACCATCTCAAACCCACCAAAATACGCCCACTCACATTCTTAACAACCCAAAAATCAAGAGCAGCTAGCAGAACAGTGACCACAAATATGATGACAAAACTGTCAACAAATAGAGCTGAAAGTATGTAAAACGCCAAAGCTGCAGCCTGAGAAATGAATCCGGGAAAAAATGTTAGCATTTAAATTTCAATTTGGGCCTAAAATAAAAGGAGCTAGATGCACTTGACCTTGAAGACCACGTGAAAGAAACATATATTAGGGTGTGCATAGTTCTCCCCTGCAGGCTGAGCATAGAAAGTAAGAAAATTGTAGTAAGAGTTGATACTCTACAAATATTCTGTATTCCTAAGTCCATAGGTTTTTGAGAAAAAATAAAATAAAAAAGGGGCAGCAGTCAAGTTGTAGATCACGAGGTCACATTGGTGACATAATACACTATGCACACAAAGAAAATGCGGAGATCCATATTTGAACTTACAACAGATGCCAAGTTATTAAAACTATAGCAAGTATGGCCCTATCCACTAATATGACTTTTTCCCATCCTCTTGATCTTTCCTAGAATAACTTTTACAGAGTACAGTGACTGAGCAATAAATCAAGACTATGTTTCAATAAGAGTCTCCTTGACTAAGATGATCAGTAAATAAACCACAGTCAATTCGTTGTTTGTTCCAATTATTTGTTTCCTCATCTACTAACAGCACCAACATGGTCATCGGTCATCTCCCTCTACATTGTAATCAGAAATAACATTGTATGAACCAAATTTATACATGTCTGGATGTTCTCAGCAGTATTTAAACTAGAATTATATGATGGAAAAGTTCATTATGGTGAAAGGCTAATTAGCAATTTTTTAGCACCATGCCTACATGATTAGTCTTCCACATCGAATTTGATTTACACGTCAAACACCACGATGACATATATTGCCAGCCTCCTGAAACAGTCTGAGCTGCCTAACTTGCCCTCGTTCTAAATATAGCATTTTCCATCTTAATTTGTGCACTTCTCACATATCATCAACTATGCTCCTCTTGCACACACAGAATCACACCAAGTTTTAAAATCATAAAATTATCAATTTATCAAAACACCTGTAAATCATATCGATTTTGACATCTATATGAATTGTCCAATGTCCACACATGCAAAGAAAACTAAGCAGTGATGTTAAAGGTTAAAAAATATATAAAAATACCTAAACACTCAAGTACAGTCTCAAAAAAGTTTTGATGCATATTAGTGTGATTAGATGGGCCAAAACAGTTCAGTCTTGAGGTAGAACTCTTTTTTCTTGAACAAGACAAGTCCATCTTTGTTGGACTGATGCAGCCAATTAAGATGGTAGACTAATATTTCATTCCATCCAATGTAGTCCAATCCCCATGGGGTACTAAACCTGGGACATAACTATAATGGGAAAAATTAAGCCAAGACTATCTCTACCACCAACTACCAAGAAGGGGTAAGATCCGTGTACACACACCCTCCTCAAACCCTATTTTTTGTAGAATTTTACTATTATTGTTGTTGCTGCACTGATTCATAAAAGAACATGGGGGCAGGGTATACTCCGCATTCTTATTTTAAAGGGTCGATACCAAAATCCAAAAGTAAATAAAATGATGTATCAATGCTTACATAAACTCTTATTTTTTTCATAAACCAAATTAGTCACAGTCAGTCCCTAACACAGATCCCTTGTTCCAGCTCTCCCCCTAACTTCATCATTCTTATCAAGTCAGCTTGCAGAAAAAACACCTTATAAAGTCATAAACTATGGTAGTAGTTAATTTGTTTAAAATCGAGCATTCCTCACAACCTACTCTTTTCTAAATCAAGTATATCTTTCAGCAATTTTTCAAAATACGATCACTTCAACTAAGAAGGGTTGTTCTTCGTTATATCATCTATTCATCGCACATGCTGCAAATTTAGTGAATACTATGACAAATTTTAAGATTCGTGTACAGATATACAATTGCACGATTTGCATAGACAGATCTATCCAAACAGAATCCCGAGCAAGTCATGGCCGGAAAATTAAAGCGTCATTGTAGAAGAAATCAATTGAACATTCAGCTAAGAAGCGTATAAATAATCATTAAAAAACAAAGACCTTACAGGATTCAGATCCATTTCTGGAGAACTCAAATGCAGGAATTTTCAGGATTGCCTTAGCGGTGTGATCTGCTTCCCCTCTTGGCCTCCACCCGCGACTTTCTTTCTTCTTTTACTCAGTATTTGCCGTTTGGTGCCCAGGCGTGAAAGGCTGCTTACAGCTTGTGCGCTTATTATGAATATCCTTTTTTTGATAAATTGAAAAATACTTATTTACAGGCTTGCGTATCTCATATTTTGAGAAACTAACTGTTAAGTACCTCACATTTTCAAAATATACTCCGAGGTACCTTCTATTTTGAGAAACTAACTATCGGATACCTCACATTTTTAAAATATATTCCAGGATACCTCCAAATATACATTAATTTTACGTCATTAATTTTAAGAAATAGGGGTTTGGAATTTTAAAAGTAACCAAGAACTTTTTAATTTGAAGAAAATTGTACTCAATACTTTTAAAATTGAGTACTCAATTTTCTTCAAATTAAAAAGATCTTGGTTTTTTTTAAAATTCCAAACCTCTATTTCTTAAAATTAATGGCGTAAAATTAATGTATATTTGGAGGTATCTTGAAGTATATTTTAAAAATGTAAGGTATCCGATAGTTAGTTTCTCAAAATAGAGGGTACCTCGGAGTATATTTTAAAAATGTGAGGTACCCGATAGTTAGTTTCTCAAAATAGAAGGTACCTCGGAGTATATTTTGAAAATATGAGGTACCCGGCAGTTAGTTTCTCAAAATATGGGGTACCCAAGAGCAGTTTTCTGCTTATTTTAAGTAATTGCATGCTTATTTTCGAGCATAGTTGAGTTTTAGAATAATGAGTTTTTAGTTACTTGAAAATGAGTGCTCAGTTGCTCGATTGCCCGACAATGAATATTCAGTTACTCGTAAATGAGTATTCACCACATATATACAGAAAACACTGTACCACTGGCGGTACGGTATATATTGTGATTAAGTGTCGATAGCCTATATATATATATATATATATATATATATATATACTCCGTATATACTTAAGACATACGGAGTATTAAATACATAAAATGAAATGAGTGCATTTCATTTAAAATATGATATACGCTAAAAAATTTGTCTATTGTAGTTGTTATTAGATAATGAAAGTCGGATAGTACATTAGTCTCAATCAAAAAAAATTTGAACAGAGCCTCAACTAGATTTATTGCCCTGACGGTTCAAAAAAAGTTACGAGAAACTTTCGAAAGAGCTTATAAATTCCTCACCTAAAAAACTAATTTACAAAATAATAGTTAAGTTTACTCATTCGAACTAACACTTCTCTCCGTTGTTGCATCCATGTAGTTTTACGGATCCATGTCATACTATGCCTCTTGACGCCGATGTCTCAACAAGATCCAATCTCTGTTGCAAAGTAGTGTCTCCAATGATTCAGTGCAGAGACTACTCCGGAAGTCGGTCAAAATGTTGCCACTATAATTGAATACTTGTTCTACGGCTACCACTTACACCACATAGATGAGACTTGTCTAACTAGCATTCCGAGTGATAGGAACATGTACTTATTCCGTTTCCACTAGTCGAGGACGTCGAACTCATTCTCGTTCTCTTCGTCGTAGTCACATAGAATGCCTTGGTACATTGCAAGTTCGTTGTGTGAACTTATTATTGTACCATTGTGGATGTAGAGTCAGTATTATTGTCTTTCTTCGTCAAGAGGCCACTAAAGATTCATTTAAAACCTTTTTTTAACCATTGGGGTTGTAGGAGTGTGTGTCTCAGGTTCTTTTGGACGGTTATGATACAAATTTTAAAATTCTTTAAACAAAGACTCAAAAGGGTCACAACATTCACTCTCTTTCTTCGAGTCGATATGATGCCAGAAATAATAATCATCCTCATCCAAAAAAACATGAATATTAGTACTCAATAAGAACTTTGAACTTTGCAGTTTTGAATCAGGGATCACAAATGATATCAATTTTGTAAATATCAAGAATATACAGGTATATAAGCACACTATTGATACAAGATACGATTAGATAAAGTTTCACGAAAACATATAGCAATTGTTATATAATCAGAGAAGAATTTATTACTCGCATGGTTGTAAACATGCAAGAAAAGTATAGTTGTATTATCAAACACTTCTATCACATTGTCCATTTTTTTCAACAATAACAATCCATTCATACCAATGACATGCGAAAGTTCAAATTTAAGAAACGAAGCAAGTTCTTTATATCTTGGAATATGTGAAATCAACTTATATGTCTTGTTCCATCAGATCGTAATGTCCTTGGAAAATGTTATTGGCTTCTACCACTATATTTGTACTAAGCCTTCCACTACTTTTAATTTAAAAAATCTAACAGTCCGGAACTATATTGGACCAGAAACCGGCCGGTTCCAGTACCTTACCTCCCCCTAAGCAGGTACCGCTATCGCTGGTCCGAGTGTTGGAACCGCTAGTACCTGTTCAGAACCGTACCCGTATCCACCCATAAACATAGCAATAGAACCTGAACCTAGGCCTACCCGTGGTGGGTTCAATTGGGGGCAACAAAAAGAAAGGAGATCAAGAGTGGGGCCGGAGTAGTGTGTGCGTGCCTTATCCATCCATATTACAAAGCCACACATTCAAAGTCAAAAACTCACTGTCTCAGAAACCTACAAAGCATCACACAAACAAAAATGGTGAGCCTGGTGCCCAATAATCTTCTTGCACAACCCAAACACCTCCCTTCTTTGCCCTCCATCTATTCATCATCCTCTTCTTCTCTCTCTGACTTCTTCAATGGCGCCCAGTTACCTGCAACTGCCCAGGTGAGAATCAATGGGCTTGTCTCTGCTATGGAAATATCAGCAGTTCTAACCATGACCCATATTATTATTATTATTAAAAATCATTAATCATTGAAATTTAAGTAACCTGGTACTGGTTAATTAGCAGTTCTGGGGGGGGGGGGCATTTGATGATTTTGATCTTGTTATTGTGCTTTGTGTTCATATGCTACTCTCAATTTAAGGCTTAAATATTCAGAATTTGGGTGCTGGGCGATTACAAACTCACATAATAACTGAAATTTTCAAAATTCAATAAAGAAAATGAACTGGATTTAGTGGATTTGCCAATTATTCAACAATGTCTGCAGTCTAACTTGACAAAATTCAATCTTTCACCTTAGATTCCTTGACAGAATTTGGTCATGTTCTTGTTACATGTGGAAATGGATTAATGCGATTCATTTATCGTTTTTCGTGTGAATGTAGTATAAGAAAAAGGTGGCAGTATGTGAGCCAAATGGGGGACTGCAGATTTCTGCAAGTGCCAAAAAGGTCCTTATTATGGGGGGCACCAGATTCATAGGTGTCTTTTTGTCAAGGCTTCTTGTCAAAGAAGGGCACCAGGTTCATATATGGGTTTTTGGGTTTTTAGTTGGAAAATGTATTATGGTGCCCTTGATGTTAAGCACTGCTGTATAGGTCACTCTTTTCACTAGAGGAAAAGCCCCAATTACACGCCAATTGCCGGGAGAATCAGATGGAGACTTTGCTGATTTCTGTTCCAAGGTTGTCTGCCAATTTCACCCATTCATTGTCACTACAAAGAGCCATACTTGTTCACTGCTTCACTTTGATCTTATTCTAAGAAGTTTATCATATGTTAACATTTAAACAAACAGATATTGCACTTGAAGGGAGATAGAACGGACTATGATTTTGTTAGGAGAAGTATATCTGCTGAAGATTTCGATGTTGTGTACGACATAAATGGTATGTATGTGTGTATGAATGATGGTTAAACAACATCCTTTGGTCTTTAGCTTTGCGAGTTGGAATCATATTTTTCATCTTTTCTTTTTGCACTTGGAGATGATACTTTTTTTTTAAAATAATACTCTAATAATTTCAGGGCGAGAAGCAGTTGAAGTAGAACCCATATTGGATGCATTGCCTAATCTTGAACAGTAAGCTCGAAGCTGGGGGGATGTGGGGGAGGGGGAGGAAGTGTGGAGGCGGGGGAAACGAGGGAGGGAAAAGGGGAGAAAAAGTTCTCTGTTTTCTCTCCTTTTCCTTACATTCTCCTTTTCTTTTCCTTTCTAATCAAACACCCAAATGGTTTTCCCTTACTATTTTCTCTTTTGAATCCATGAATCAAACATATTCTTACACTATGTTTGGTTCAAGGAATTTGGAAGGAAAAAAAATAATTCTCTTGTTTTTCTCACGAAAATGAGAGGAATTTAGTTTTCCCTCCTCGTAGTATATTTTGCTTTCTCATCATTTTATTTTCCTTCCACTTTCCCTTTCTTTTCCTCTCTAACCAAACAAGAAAAACTCTTTTCCTTTACTATTTTCTCTTATTTTCCCTTCTGAATCCATGAATCAAACACAGTGTTAGGATTGGAGGGAGGTATTCCTTTTGAGTTTTACTTTTCTTGTGCTGAATCCATAGGTACATATACTGCTCCTCTGCCGGAGTTTATCTCAAAACTGATTATTTGCCCCACTACGAAGTTAGTATGTACATTCACTTCATCTAAATTTTTTCTTCAGCTTTGATTTACAATCTAAATGCATCTGAGTGAATGTCTTGACACCCTATTTTTAAACAAACAACAAAAACCAAACTTGGGCTGCTGCTGCTATTGACAGACAGATGAAGTTGATGAAAAGAGCAGGCACAAAGGGAAGCTGGAGACAGAGAGGCTATTGCAATCACGAAGCAGCCTTAGTTGGACTGCCATAAGACCGGTCTATATATATGGGCCATTGAACTACAATCCAGTCGAAGAGTGGTTTTTTCACAGGCTCAAAGCAGGCCGCGCTATTTCAATTCCCAACCCCGGGATGCAAGTGACCCAACTCGGTCATGTCAAGGTTAGTCAAACAAATGGCATTAGTTATTTTAACACAAGAATTTTGGGATTTGAACCATGTATTGTTTGCAGGATCTTGCAAGAGCCTTTGTTCGGGTTCTTGGCAATGAAAAAGCAAAGGGACAAGTGATTAACATATCTGGAGAGAAATATGTCACCTTTGATGGATTTGCAAGGGCATGCGCGAGGGTAAGTGTTCATCATCATCTTCTTCTTCATGTCTATCTGAAAGGCATTGGGAAAGTAGAGAAATGACTGAAGAAGTGTATGTATATATGTGTATCTATGTGTTTTTAACAGGCTGGTGGGTTCCCGGAACCTGAGATTGTTCACTACAACCCCAAGAAGTTTGATTTTGGTAAAAAGAAAGCATTCCCATTTCGTGACCAGGTACCCGTTTGGCAGACATTTTCATTTTCACCTTACAAGATCTTCATTGTTCCTGCTTGGGAGGGAGCCCAGAACTTTAAAAAATCTTTTTTTTTGTTTTCTTGGAATACATGAACACTATATTATGTTGTGTTTGGAAATTGTAGCATTTCTTTGCGTCGGTTGAGAAGGCAAAGCAGTTGCTGGGGTGGAAACCGGACTTCGGGCTGGAGGAAGGTCTTAGGGACTCCTACAACCATGACTTTGGCCTCGGCACCTTCCGGAAAACAGCTGATTTCTCAACGGATGATTTGATTCTTGGGAACTTTTCCTAAAATCCCCCCTTTTCATTGTGCACATTATTCTGGAAATGAAAATGAAATGGTTCTGCAGCACAAGCATAGATCTAAACGAAGGGCTAAATGAATTTTTATTGCAAACATATAATAAAAAAAATAAACAAATACTCTGAAAACTTCAAAAAGAATTGCAATGTGTGGGTCCATTATCTCTTCCCCATGTTTTTCTCCAAAAAATCCTCACCACCACAAAGATATCACATTCCTGCAATGGCCAACCATTGTCTTGAGGGATTTCCTTCTCCAATATCTCTTCAACATATCCAAACAAATTTCTCCTCAACTTGCACCCAAAATAGCTTAGGCCTTTACCCCCCCCCCCCCCTCCTCCTCCTCTTCCTCCTCTTGGTATCACATACAACCCGTGAATTTACCATCTTAGCCTCGTCAAACATCCATCGCTATCTGTGCAATGGACGTGGACGAGCTCAGAAGATTTTTCCAAATGTTCGACCAGAACAGCGACGGGCGGATCACCAAAAAGGAGCTGAATGATTCGCTGCAGAAGATGGGAATCTTCATGCCAGAAGAGGACCTCGCCAAAATGATTGAGAAAATTGACGCGAACGGGGACGGGTGCGTGGACATGGACGAGTTTGGGGCAATGTACCAGTCGATCATGGATGAGAGGGACGAGGCAGACGGGGACATGAGGAAGGCATTCGACGTGTTCGACCGGAACGGCGATGGGTTCATCACCGTGGACGAGCTGAGGTCGGTTTTGGCGTCGCTGGGACTCAAGCAAGGGCGCGCGGTCGAGGACTGCAGGAAGATGATCGTGACGGTGGATGCCGACGGCGATGGGATGGTGAATTTCACTGAGTTTAAGCAGATGATGAGAGGGGGTGGGTTTGCTGCATTGACATGAAAAAAAAAAAACACACACACACACACATATATATATATATGATATTGTAAATATCATCATATACTAGCATGGACATTTTTGTTGAGAATATATTTTTCTTGTGAGTTGTAAATATGATATTTTTGACTGGCTTGGTCTCATGAAGCGAATCCAAGAACCACAACATTTTTGAATAGGTGGATTTGAAGGATTTTTTTATGGAAATATAGTATAAATAGATATGTCTAAAAAGTAATTCATTCAGTGAATAAAGTGTAGCAGGACTTAATTACTAAGGCTATGGGGTGTGCCTTCTCTTTTCCCAATCTTCCAACTGTCAGTTTTTATTTTAATTTATAGTACAATTGAACTAAAATCACAAAAATAATAAAAAGGCTAAATCCACCATTGATCCTTCAACTTTATGAGTTGTGCACGATTAGTCCTTCAAGTTTCAAAAGTTCATGAGAAGTCTTCCAATTTTATGAGTTGTGCACAATTGGTCCTTCAAGTTTCAAAAGTTCATAAATAACTCTTCAAGTACACATCAACCCTGCAGATGAGGTCGTTTTGACTTGGAAAAAAGTTACTCCGTAACATTTTGCTTTGTTTTGCGTAAAGTGTAAAACATTTTGGGACAGAGGCCATAAACACTTCTTATAAACACTAACCTGCCCATTTCAACCATATTCTCCAGAATAAAAGAGCCCCATTCTCTGCATTGCCACCACATTTGCAAATTGCAGCATCAAGATACATTTTTAAACTGCTCTTTGTGCTGCAACAATAACAGAAGGAATGAAAAGTAAATAAAATATGGAGTATACATTATTCAGAACACTGGAAGGTGTCCTAAGGGCATATGAAGGTGAAAATGGTCTAATGATAACTGATAATTCAGTGAATAAGTAGAGCAGGACTTAATTTCATATTGGATTAGATTAGCATATGAGATTAGTCCAACCTTGGAGTTCACATTCATGTCCTTTACCTCCTCCAAAAAATTCATAGCTGCTGCAAGTCCCTTATTTTATGGCCTGCTTTTAGTGTGGTGGGGCTGAGGGAGAATAAAAACTTGGTTCAAATTCAATAAATAAATTTTAGATTTGTGTCTAAACTCATTATATGTATGAACTATATATCATATGAAAACCTAAGAGTTGTGAAGCTCTTTACATTTTACTCCACTCCTTCCCTATGGCTACACTCAAAAAATGGTGGCCAAAAATAAAATCTGATTTTTGGGGACAGATTTTACAAAGGAAAACACGATAGAATGTTATATTTGATTTAACTTGTTAAGCTTTTACATGTATGTACAATATTGTCTTTATACAATAAGAATATGAGAGTGTTGAACCTCTTTGGTTTTCAAACAATGATATCTTCTTCAGATATGTTGCCCAAGTCCTCTTTCACTCTCATGAACCCAGACTAAATGAGTAGTGTCCATTTTTTGAAGTAATAATTTGTACTTGAAAACCAAACATGGCACTTATCCAATCTAAGAGGTCGAGCTCCCGAGCTCTCTGTCTTTGGGGTCAAAATGAGGTTGACCAACTCGATCCGAGTGTGCTTGAAAGGGCTGCCACAGGCCCACAGCAGTTCTAACCTGGAGGAAGTATTAAAAATCATTATGTACCCCAGCCCCACCATTTTTTTCCATTTCTATTTTCTTTCCATATCATTTTTGGGGTACCAAACAGACTCTATAAGGTAACTAGGTAAGGTAAAGATAAAAGAGGTACCGTAATTGACGAGACGTATCATGAGCATAAGGTTTCCCACCCCGGATTGGCACACCCACTTTCCACATCATAGTGTATTGTTCCTCTATCCCACAGTTCTTGACTTGTTACCAAAAATTGTGACACGAACAATCGCCGTTTTCAAAGTGATGGAAACGGTAGGCATCCCTAACGACAATGGCCCGATTTTCAACCTTAGACACACACTTAATCCAGTTGTGGCAGTCATTACAGACGCGAAGGTTCTTCATCACACATAGGGGAATCTGGTTTGACAAGTTCAGAAGTCCAAATGCAATGGCCAGCTTCTCGCTGTGTACAAACGCAGTGGGGTCCTTCTGCTCCATCTCCAAATCATTCCAAAGGCTGTTGTTGTCTTGTGCGTAACCCACTCCAGTCGCACGTTCATTCAGTTCCACCACAAACCTATGTATCTCACCTGCCATTGGATGCAACCTATCGCCGACAAAAAATGCATGAATTTTGTTTTTCACTTCAATCCAACTTCGTCCAGGCTCTTTCTTAACACCCATGTCTTTCATCAGTTCCCTTGTGGAATTTCTGTAATCCCATCTCCCTACAACTGCATACAGGTTTGACAGAAGAACATAGGTCGCCGAAGCTTTGGGCTCCAGTTCCAAGAGGTGGTCCCCAGCAAATTCCCCGATTTCAATGTTCTTATGAACAGTGCAAGCACTCAGCAGGGTCCTCCAAACCATCGCATCAGGTGGAATTGGCATGGTCTCCACGAAATCTCTTGCGCGTTGCAGTTGACCGGCCCGTCCCATGATATCAACAACACATGCATAATGCTCTGGTCTTGGTGCCAAACCGTGATCTTCACTCATGGACTTGAAGTAGCTAAGCCCCTTCTCCACCAGCCTCACGTGGCTGCAGGCTGTCAAAACGCCCACAAAGGTGACATGATTCGGTGCCACCCCTGCCAGTTTCATTTCCTCAAAGAGGTGTATTGCTTCGTTTCCAAGTCCGTGTTGAGAATAACCAGTGATCATCGCATTCCATGAAACTTGATTCCTGCAATGCATTTCCATGAACTCTCTCTTAGCCTCACCAAGGCTCCCACATTTCGCATACATTGTGATCAACACATTGGAAGATTCTGTTTTGGAGTCATAACCGGTTTTAACCATTCTAGCGTGGATGTGTTTTCCTTGTTTGATATTTGCCATGTTAGCAGCTGCACTAACAGCAGACCCGTATGTATAAATATTAGCTTCCACTCCACAATGATTCATTTTTGAAAAAACTCTTAACGCTTCCTCGCAGTATCCACTCTGGGCAAACCCCGATACCAAACCATTCCATGAAATATTGTCTTTAGAATCTATCTTGTTAAACGTCATATGAGCATCATGCACTTCACCACACCTAGCATATAGGCAAACAAGTGCATTGCCAATTGATATATCAGATGTGTATCCAGAGACAATTGATTGAGCATGGACTTGTCTCCCTTGATTAAGTGCTTGAATTCCAGCACATGCGGTTATTGCACTGGCAAATCCTATATTGTCTGATTGAATACGCCGGTCCTGCATTTGGCGAAAAAGCCATATTGCTTCATGAAAGAGATCGTGTTGGGTGTATCCAGCAATCATAGATGTCCAAGACACAACGTCTTCTTCGTTATCGATATTGCTGAAGATTTCCCGTGCTGCATCCAAGTTGCCATGCTTAGCATACATATCAATAAGAACACTACAAACATAAACATTTGGTTGAAATCCAGTTTTTATGACTAGGCTATGTATTTGCTCGCCTAGATCCATATCACCCACAAATGTACAAGTTCTCAAAATGCTAGGATAAGTGTATTGATTAGGTTGCAGACCCTTAGCCTGCAATTGGGAAAAAAGGCGACACGATTCAATTAAGTCCCCTTTCTGTCCATAAGCCACTAGCATGACATTCCACAAGACTATGTTTTCCATATGCGTTGTTTGGAAAAAATCACGGGCGGTTTCTGTATCTGCACATTTGACATAAAGATCGAGTATTGATCCTTCGACAATAATATCTGAACAAAGGCCTGCCTTTGTTGCATATGAGTGCAGCTGCCTTCCCTTTTGAAGATCACCACAAGACGCACAAACACTCAAGAGGCTTGAAATTGAAACGCAGTCCGCCTTTATGGAATCCATTTGCATTTTATCAAACAGTTTGAGTGCCCTCTCACTAAACCCTTGCATCGCAAAACCTGAAATCAGTGTGTTATAAGACACTCTGTCCCTGAAACTCATTTCAGAGAATATTTTCTCTGCAGACATTAAGCCTCCACTGCGAGAGTATAACGCTAAAAGAGCATTACGCACAAACACATCACATAAGTATCCCCACTTCAAGATTACAGAATGGAGTTGTTCTCCCAGGTCAAGAAATGATAGCTTGGTAGTGGCACTTAAAACACTAGAGAAAGCATAAGGAGTTGGAATCACTCCCAACCTACGCATATCAGTATAGAGAAAAATTGTATCTTTTTCGCGTCCATTCTGAGAGAATCCAGTCATCATGGCAACCCATGAAGCACTGTCCCTTGAATTCAGATCCTCAAAGACTTTTTCAGCAAAGTCGACCAAACCATTCTTAGAGTACAAATCAATCAAGAAATTGCAAACGCTGCAGCTTCCAACAAAACCATATTGCAAAACCATAGCATGTATCTGCTTAATCGCCTGCAAATTAGATGCAATCTGATGAGCACCACAAGCTCTCAGAACACTGGCGAATGTACTCCTGTCTGGACGGACACCTTCATTCATCATCCGCGAAAATATGTAAAAAACCCTTACATCTTTCCTACACCCAGATATGAACTTATTCCACATAGAAACATTTGAAGTCCATGAAGGCGCGTTACGCAGAGCTGGTAATGCGCCTGCCAGATCCTCATTGCACACATACAGATAAAAAAGGCGGTTTTCGAGAGTTGTATCACTGTCAAAACCCAACTTCAAAATTTTCCCATGGAGCTTTTTAGCATCAGGGACAGATCCACTTATAGTATAACAATCTAGTAACCTTAAACAAGAACTAAAACTAAGATTCCCGTCATTTTTTTCAGTGCAAAGAGTGGGATTTAAAGAGCTATTGACTTCATTGTCTTCATCCGTGAAATCATCATGAAGAAGCTGGGAAGCAGCACTTGCAGTAGTAAAAGGAGCAACCTTTAGCAACCGGAAGTGCTTCAAACAAGTGGAATGCAAAGTTTCTTGCTGCAGTTCATAAATTAATGAAAATTTAGACGAACGGACAGAAATTATCAAATTAATAAACGCAGTAGGCTAAATAGGTACATACAGTGCATTTACCTTGAGAAGTGAACGAATGAAACCATCAAAAATCCTACTCTGCATAATAGACAACCATAAAATTCAAGATTTCGATTATTAAGAATTAATTAAAGTATATAAATGTATTTCGATTATTACAATTTCTGATCAATCCCCGCCCTACCAACAGCACAATTGGCGAATTGGGTTTTAGAAAAGGTTTTGGTAGGGGAATCGATCGGGAGATGTATTGGAGAAGAAGGGCGAGGATAAAATATTTCTTACTCGGGGGAGTAGGCATTTTTAATTTAGAAATTTATTTCATTATTTTCATGCATCTTATGAAATTATTTTTATAATTATTTACCCTAGAATTTTATGTAATTGAATTCCAAAGTTTATTAATTTTACTTAAAAATGGTTATATCAGACAAATATATTGAGATTAGACCTGAACAAAGTACGGGCAAGGTCGAATTTTGAGTCGGGTCGAGATGCTACAGCACGAAAATTTTCTAGATCAGAGCGCGGCGCGGCCTGTATAGCGAGTCTAACAATGGAAGCCCAAGCCTTACCCGCATGGATATTCGCAAGGCTTCCACCGGCCCAATCCCCACTGCAAAAACTTTTAAATAATAACTATAATGATTAAATGAAAGAACATCTAGTATAAATTATGTTTTGTTTGAAATTGCTACTACTGTACTACATACGGAATACAAAGTATTATTGTAATATCACAATCAATTTGTGATACTTGTAAACAATACAAAGTACTCCCTCCGCCTCTTAGTAATATCACAATTAATTTGTGACACATGTCCTACATATCCATTGAGAATATGGCCCAAGTGTCCAACAATAAAAGATAATAATGTGGATTAGATCATGACAAAACTTCAGCCCAATTAATAAAAATAAAAAGTAGTGTTAGACAACTTCAAATAGCTCAATTAAGAATAAGTGGAGCTAGGCAATGGGTTATTTTGACTATAGTGAGTTAACAAGGTGTTAAAGAGCATTTTAAAGTAGATACATTCTCTATGAGCAAGTACCTTTGAGTATACTCCACTTAATCTTTCGGTACATCCCTCTTCACTTCAATCTTACATATTTTCATGCCATTTTATTATGCTGGAGGGTATGAATCACACGTATCACGTCCGACCACATAAGCTCCCAACCACGCAAGAAAGAAGAGAAGCATGACAATGTGGAGTGGTTTTCGTTCTGCCGTACGCAAAGACGATGCTATTGCTCTAAAAGTAGGTTAAGAGATGAACGTGGTGGTAGTGGTCTAATCTTTCAGTTCCCTGCACGAGCGTGATGTTGTCGCATACGAAGAGACACCACTTTATTTTCGTCTCCCTTCTTGTTCTCATATCATCCGATCTTATTATCGCACAAACTAAAATTATTGATGTATTAATCGTTAGTTTTATACGGAGTAATACGTTGTATACACACTATCTATTTTACAACGGAAAAGACAACCAAAGATTTTATAGTTCTGCGACATTGCTATGAGCCTCTGACTTTGACTCGGATGGAGTTTGAGTCTAAAAAAATCTCATAATGTGCTAGATTTTTCATTATTAATGATTTTAAATTAGAACTTATCCTCTAATTTGAGTGGTAGCAAGTCTACTCTCCAGAATTCATATAGAAGTTTACTCAGATTCGAGCTCCAATGAGGACAAAACACTAGCTCTTTATGCATCATTAATTTGAGAATAGTATGAAAAATAATAGAATGGATAATATTAAAAAAAAAGTTTCAAATTAGTGGCAAGAAAAAAAGAAAGGAATTCCGTACTCCTTAACACTATGTTTGGTTCAAAGAATTTGAGTGGGAAATGAAAAGAAAATGAGAAGGAAAACTTTTTTCTTGTTTGGTTAGAGAAGAAAAGAAAAGAAAAGTGAAAGGAAAAGAAAAAGAGAAGAGGCAAAATGTTCTAAGCTGAAGGAAAACTAAATTCCTCTCCCATTTTGGCTAGGAAAATGAGAGAACACTTCTTTTCCTACCAAATTCCTTGTGTGGATGTCTCTCGCTCACTCCATCGAGTAGCTGGATTTCTAAAATTTCAGTATTACCCATAACCCATCTACCAGGTGTAGGCTGACCGGCTGATATACCCGTCTCCCTATTTGGTGAGATCTTCTCATTCGAGCGATTTTTGTTTCATTTTATTTCGTTATTTTGTTTCCCCCAATTCGAAAGACATATTAGGTCAAGAGGTCGTGATTATGGGTTTTCATTTGTCATTCCACGCAGGTAAGACTGTCAGCTACATCAATAGATTGTGTTAGACAGAGAGGATTCATAGCAAAAGAAAATGGCAGGGAATTCTTTGATAAATTTTTCCGCAAATTCTACTATTTTGCACGTTGTGCCCAGTAGGCGAAACAGTCAGGTGAATTTCTTGCCATTTTTGAGAACTCCAGAAAGGCCCAAAGGCAGAGTCTTTAGCGTAAAAGCTGTGTCTGCAGATTCTGGTCATAGTCAGGAGCAGACACAAGAACAACCCGGGTTAGATTCTCACCGCAGAAGTATGTTTTCTAATGTTTTAGATGTGCCGAGGAACATTTGGAGGCAGACTCTGAGACCGCTGGGCGATTTTGGGTTCGGGAGAAGGAGCATTTGGGAAGGAGGGGTAGGGTTGTTCCTGGTTTCCGGTGCAATTTTGTTGGCACTCAGCTTGGCCTGGTTGAGAGGGTTTCAGTTGCGGTCAAAGTTCAGGAAATACTTGGCTGTTTTTGAGTTTGAGCATGCTTCTGGAATCTGTACAGGCACGCCTGTTAGGATCCGAGGGGTGAATGTTGGCAATGTTATTAGGGTTAATCCATCATTGAGAAGCATTGAAGCCGTCGTTGAGGTGTGCAAAGTACTTAAACTAGAGTGCCCGTTTTGTATGCATTTTCCGGCATATCAGCCATATTTTTAGTTGCCAAACCATAACTCATTTCATAATCTAAAAAGGTAGTGCAGTTTTTTGTGTGTGTCATTTGTTAGCTTATAAAACTCCATTCGTTGATATCAGTATTTTAACTTAATACTTCAGATAATTCTACTGATTTAGTTAATCCATCCATTTCAACCACAATTTTAGTAGAGTCAGCCATTTTAGACCATACCAAACGGGATCTGGATTGCTCTATTTTCTGCTTGCATTCGGTGTGGATATCTTTATTATTTTGGACCAAAAAGCATATTTTGTAGGTTGAAGATGACAAGATAATCATACCTCGAAATTCCTTGGTTGAGGTGAACCAGTCAGGCCTTCTCATGGAAACTATGATCGATATTACTCCCAGAGACCCAATTCCAACTCCTTTAGTTGGGCCTCTCCATCAAGATTGCCTCAAAGAAGGTTTAATTGTATGTGACAGGCAAAAGATGAAGGGGCATCAAGGGGTAAGTTTAGATGCATTGGTTGGGATATTCACCCGCCTTGGTCGTGAAGCAGAAGAAATAGGTATTGCAAATACATTTTCCTTGGCTGAAAGAGTTGCCTATGCCATTGAGGAGGCTCGTCCTTTACTCGTCAAGGTATAAGGTGCATTGCTCTTTAAGTTCAATTTGTTATATTTTTTGTTTTAAAACTAGTTCATTATTCAACAAAAAGGTTAACATTGCATTATTCTTTAACTTCACGTCATAAGAGTTTTCATTCTGTAACTTAGGTCATTATTCTACAGTTAAACTATTAAAGACTTCATTTTTTCATAGTTTCATATCAATGGACATGTGAATCCATTATTTTAAACATGTTTCAACAACATTCTGGACAATGGATTGCAATGGTGTTTAAAATCCAAACACAAACACAAAGCTAGAATGGTAGTAGTGTTTCCAAAAGGATAGCTAATCAATAACCATTTTCAATTCTGAAACTTTGGACACTTAATTTATATTCTCTCCATCGGGATTTTGCGTCCCACTTTCCAAAATACCTCAAATTTGAGGAGTTATGGTAAAATAGCATAAAATCCTTGAAATTAGCTTTCTTGTTATTGATGACAGCAATTTTAGTATGCTCGTTAGGGGGTATTTTTATTATTCATAATAATTTCTTTTCTAAATGTGGTAGTGGACTAGGCAATTAATTCAAGAAACCCCACTTTTAAACATTAGATTTTACCTCCCAACACAGATACTCTTTTTATCTTTTACTAATTCTCAGCATTTTCTCAGTACTCCACATTATTTTGAATCTTTTTTAGCTCTTAGCATGTTAGAAAATGCATAACAACAACCATACTCACCTTAAATACTTTGAGGCTGAATGCATGAAATTTAAACTGTCAATTGGTTCTCTAAAACTAAAGTTATAAATTCATGCAATATTATTCTCATATATACGAGTAAACTCATTGCAAGATATTTGCTGGAACCCGTATTTTAATATATTCTCATGTAGCGGTGCCTCAGATCAAAGCCATGGCTGAAGATGTTCAACCTTTATTGACTGAAGTTCGTAGTAGTGGATTATTGGGCGAAGTAGAGAGTTTGACAAAAAACTTGACACAAGCTTCTGAGGATCTAAGGTAAAGTATAAATCACATCTGTTGTTATATCCCCTCCTCCCACCCCACCCCACCCCAAGAACATTTTGATTTTCAAGAATGCTGTGGGTTTATGTTTAGCTAATTCCGTTGTTAACATGCCACATTTTTTCTTCTATCTTTGAGATTATGCTGGGAGTTCTTTCGAGTTTTCAAGGGCTGCATTTGTTTTTAGAATGAAATGATTTACGATTTTAATAAGAGTTCTCCAAAGTACATCATAATGCTGAATGAGTAGGGAAGAAAAATGAAGAAAACAAAACAGTGAGAAACAGAGTGTTCTTTAGTGGCATCTTTTTCTTCTCATCAGCCTTATGGCCCTTATCAACTAGAATTTTTACCAACCACTAAATCATACTCCGGTAATGTACATACTTCATATGAAGCCCCAACAAAAACATATCATTCAAGTGAATAAATCATGTTTTCAATCCGTAGTGTAAACCGTAAATCTATTCTTCTTTTGCATTGGCATGCCCCTTTTACAGATTTCTGGATTTACATTATTTGTCACTGTTGAAACTGCAGAAACGTGCATTCGTCTGTAATGACTCCTGAAAATACAGAACTAATGAGGAACTGGTTAAATACGCTGGTTTTCACTTTGAAGAACATCGAGGTATTTGCTAATAGATTTTCTTGGATTATCATGCAACCCTGGATTTCTCATGTTGAATTGGAACTTTTTCAGAATATAAGCTCGGATGTTTTAGGGTTCACTGGCGACGAAGCCACCAGACGGAACCTGAAAATGCTCATCAAATCACTCAGCAGGCTATTGTGAGAACCCAGAATCTTTGAACTGATTGAACCCGAAGTTCGAACTGCTTCCATATATGGTCTTGGTTGCAACATGCATCTGATATGGATGAATGATCATCTGCTGAAGACAGAACTGTTTTGCGCAAATTGTTTAGGTACGTTGATGATGTTTAGAAGATGAACACACATCTCTTCCTTTGTATCCCCCATTGCTTCTCTTTTAGCTAAAGCCGTGAAGATTACTCAACTCATTCTTGTGTATTCTTTTTTTGAAATTATAATCTTAAATTTCAGTAGAATCAAAGTGCAAATAATAAATAAATCAAAGAGCAAATCAAAGAGAGGATTGTCATCCCATATGTTTAGACTAGTCGCCGGTCCCAATCATTCGTAACACCCACCGACGTCAATTCCTTTGTCTTTAAGTAGTGTCTAAGTAGTGTCTGGGAACTAGTATTTCATTTTAATTCATGCGTTTCAATTCCAAAATTTGAATTCTTGAATTTCAAATGACAAAGGGAAGGTATATCGTTTTAAATTAAGCTTTGTTATCAACTAGATAAATTTGACTCAAATCCAGATCTAGATTTTTTAAATTTCCCAAATATGAAATTTGAGCCAAATCTGATTTTGAAATCTAAATCCAAATTCCCAAACATGCTGTTAAAGAATTTATATCTTTACTCAAATTACTCCCAAGTATTTTTTTAATTAAATGATAGTTAATGAACATGTGGGCCGTGCCTCTCGGATCCATAAAATTCGGGCTCAAGATCAAGGATTAAGGACACCAAAAAAGGGGAAATGGTTGATAGCGAGAGTGAAGAAACGAGAGTGTTGCCGCCGATCGTCGCCGGCTGACTGATCACATTGCCATATCACCACTAATATCACTCTGTCGTTATACATACTTCTGTTTTGGTCATAAAAGATTAAGGGGCTGTTTGGCAACTTCTGAATAGGTAAGTGCTGAACCAGTAAGAGGTCTGAACCATTAAGTGCTGAACCAATAAGAGGTCTGAACCATTAAGAGCTAGTATATTGCTTAACTATTCAGAGGCAAATGTCTGATCAATTCAAATAAGAGATCTTAACCATTCAGACTTTGTATAATACTTAACCATTCAGAGGCAAATGTCTAAGCCATTCAGACATCTGAACCATTAAAAGACTGAAACAAACCGTCTGAACCATTAAGTGCTGAACCATTCAGACATCTGAACCATTAAGAGGCTAAAACAAACAGCCCCTAAGACTCTTATTTTAATATTTTCATACCTTTTACTCATATTCAAGGAGATTTCTTAAAAAGAAAACGTAATTATTCTCCCTTCTTTTACATATGCCTCCTAGGAGTTTTACCCTTAGGGTGGACAGTATGAGTGCGGTAGGTTCTTAGCCTGTTTGGGAATATCGTTAGAAATTAGCGTTGGCGTTTTGGATAAATTTTTAATGGTGCAGATTACTTTGAAAACGCTAACGCTAAACGCTGTCCGTAGATAGCCTTTTCAAAACGCTAACGCTGTTCCCAAACAGACCCTCTATTTGGTACCAAAATTTGCTTATTTGACAATTTGGTAAATAAAGAAGGTAACACCACCCCTTAACTTGGTACCTAGGGGCGGGCACGAAAACCGTTCCCGTTGACCCGTTCCGAAACGTGCCGAAACCGTTTTGAAATTGTACCTTTTTTTTTTGATTCAAATTTTTTTGTCCCGAACCCGTTCTGTCCCGATTTTAAGTGGGACATTACCGGGATAACATACAAGTGTACCGTTCCATCCCGTTTGTCCCGTTTTATATACTCTTCTAAAAACATTATATATATATATATATATATATATATATATATATATATGTATGTATGTATGTATTTATATGTGTGTGTGTGTGTGTGTGTGTGTGTATATATATATATATATATACATATATATATATATATATATATATATATATATATATATAAACACACATATATTACTCCGTACGTATCTCGTGAAACATTTTGAGTACTTAACAATTAATACTTGTTGACATTGTTGTAGCATTTATTTTCAATCTTTTTGTTTTCAATTTTTATTATTGTCCTAAAATTAGGAAAAAGTAGGACAATCCGAATCCGTTCCGTTTTGTCCCGGTCCTGAAAATTATGGGACAAAATGGGATAGGCTTGTGGTTCGAACCGTTCCGAACCGTTTGAATATAACGGGACAGGACGCGGGATTGTAAGAAACCCGAACCGTCCCGACCCGTGCCCACCCCTATTGGTACCAACAAAATTCGTAGGCAGGTCCAAGACTTTGCCGAGCATACAGGAGCATAATGATACGTTTTTTTACATTTTCATTTAAAAAATTTAAAACTTAATTCAACACATTTTTTTACCTTTTCATTTAAAAGAATTAAACACTTAATTTAACACCAATTTTTTAACCTTTTGGCCCCTGCAAAATATATTTTTGTTAAGTCATCATTAAAAAAAATTTATTTTTAAAATGGTTCTTAAACATAATTTATACTTCTAATGTGTTGATATACCACATTTATTTCATACTCCCTCCGTCCCTAAATAGATTACAATTTTTTTCTCTTCTCTCGATAACTTTTGTTTGTTTATGCGATTTAATTAAGTATTTGATAAAATAAAATATTTTTGTCACCTCTTGTTTTGTAGAACTTTTGACGTATTTTTTTAATATGTAATTTTTATATCTTATTGATATACTAATTTGTAAATAAAATGATTTCTAAAAATAAAAATTTTTACTCCGTAACCCGCAATTTGTAATCAAATTGGGGACGGAGGTAGTTCTAAATATCCTAGTCTTGCATTTCTACTACCTATAATACAATTCTTATGTCTTAATTGTATCCTTATTCATATTATATCTTGAATTCTCAACTTTTTTACGAATATAGTATAATAAAATTTAGAAATTAGGAATGTAATTTGACGAAGAAGACGATCGATGACATGAGAATTGTGTTTATGATAATTAAAATTAGATGTTGAGTATGAAATAAATATATGTATTATCTCAATAAATTAGAAGTGTAAATTATGTTTAGAGACTATTTTCAAAATAATATTTTTAAGGATGACTTTACAAAAAAAATTACTAGGACCAAAAATATATGTCGTCTATTATACATGGACTAAAAACACACTCCGTAATATTTAAACTTATTTTTTATTCAACCAAATATACTACTCCGTAGTAGATTTACCATTTATTGACTCTCCGCCATATATTTTTTATTGAATTTGACTTTCACAATTTTAAAAAATGTTACTAGTATAAACTTAAAAAGTGCGCACTTCGTATGTGATTAGAATTTCTTTAGAAGAGTTAAGAAATCTTTGGAATCATACTCTCCCTATTCTTTATTTAATTGATCATTATAGTTTTTTTTATAATTAAGAAATAAATACATATAAATATATATTATATAGAATCATATTATCAATTAACATTTTTGATACGGATAAATATGAAAAAAGAGAATTTTTGTGGGACGAAAACAATACTTCCTAGTTCCTACTCCAAATTGGTTGACAATTTCTCTACAAAAATATGATGCCTGTATTTGTCACACCATTTTATTGTATTCCTAACATTACCCATATTTTAAACATTTTATCTTGTGGGGGCAGGGACCGGTTTAAAAAATTTTGGTGGCAAGTGTAAGAAGCTCAAGAATTTGGTTTTCTTACCCTTAGTTTGGATTAGATGAAAAAAAGAGAGGAAAAAAAATAGTATGAAAGAAAATAAAGTAATAAGAAAACGATGAGAAAATGGAAAGAAAAATATTATTTGTTTGGATGATGTGAAAATGATATGAAAGTGGTAAGAAAATATGAAAAGAAAAAGGAAAAAAGAAAAAAAATGGAGAAGAAAGAGTTGTGTGTGGTTTGTGCATTTCCTCCAATTTTTTTTTTAAGTGGACCTCATTATTATTTTTCATTTTCTTACTATTTTTTTTCTATCCAAACTAGAGAAAATGTATTAAAGTATGCTTTTATCTCAAATTTTCTTTCCTCTCTTTTTCTTGCAATCCAAACAAAGGCTTAAGAAAAAAAGACTCCCAAACCCCAAGTTGCTCGAAAAACAGCGCGCAAACCAGAAGGTGGTTAATTTATTAAACTTTCAATTCAAGAAGGTGGCGATGGTTGCAGTGCCCAAAAGAAAAAAAACGAAAAACGAATGAATTCAAGAAGCTCCATTTCTTATATAGTACACTCCACGTCTCCACTCTCGGGTTGCTGGTTGCAGTACCCAAAACTAATAATACCACCTAAATTAAATATTCCCCCGTTTAAAACAAGGGGAAACGTCCACTCCATTTTCAAGAATCACTTTTCCAACATTTTCTCTCCTCCTGTCTTTCTCGTACGTAGTACTGTATTCTTTTCTGGGTTTGATCACATACGCTGGTTCTTTTTTTTGCTTTAAAAAAAATGCAATCTTGGCTCATTTTACTTCGTTGCAAAGAAAGCCCAGTTTTCAGACCCCTGGTTTCTCTGTGCATTTACATACAAAATACCACCTTTCTTCATGCGCTCGCTCTTCTTGTCTGATCAGATTTTCTGGGTTTTGCTTCTTGTGATCTTCTCTAGAGAGGCTTAGTTAGGGTTCAAGAACTTGGTCAGATTCAGGGTGTCTTTTTGCCATCTGTTCAAGTTGCAGGCAAAATGGAAGGAGGGGTTCCCTCTTTGAATAGGCGAGTTTGGCTTAACAATGACGTAGTTGATATAGTCTTCTCATGGTCTCTTGAAGATATTTTCAATGAAGACCTCTACAGAGACCAGGTATCACTTCACTTCCAACAAAATGCACCGTGCAGTTAGTAGTTCTTTATGTTATTTTCATCTGTTGCCATGCTTTTATTTGCTCATGTATTTACTATGTTATGGTTTGCTCTTTAGAATATTCATCTTCAATGGGCTTTTGTTTTTCTTCCACTTCTAGGTGGAGAAGATACCAGAAAGATTCTGTTCGTGGGAGCATTATCTAGGTTGCTTTACATTTCCTCTGCTGGAAGAAACTCGTGAGGTTGTGGCTTCTTCTATGGAAGCAATGGATAAGGCACCATTTGCTGAAGTCACCTCCTTTGAAGAGACAAAAGGACATGGGAATGGTGTTCATTACAATGTCAAAGTTGACTTTTGGAAGAGAAGAGTTAGTGATGATGGGGAGCACTATAGAACATTACCCGGAGACTTATTGGTAGTCTCTGATAATAAACCCGAAACTGTTTCTGATTTGAATCGTGCGGGGTGGAATTGGTCATTTGCTTTGGTTGTTAATGTGACCGATGATGAGAACAATGATGGAAGTTCGTCCACAAATTTTAGAGTGAAAATGCCTATTGCTTTTGGAGCCAAGATTGGAGCCCATGCTACAATCTACATTGTGTTCCTTGAAAACCTCACAACAAGTAAAAGGATTGGGAGTGCTCTGGGAATGGCTAGGAATTTGGACATTATTGATAGCGTTTTGTACACGAGCGATGAGGTTGGTGATATTGTGGGTTTACTGATATTTGAATTTCACCTCACATCTTACCGAAGTATCTTTTCTTCATTAAACGACATAATCAAAGTGATAATTAGCTTTGGTTTGGGAATTCAATCATCCAAAATCAACAATATTTTTGTTTTTAATTTGTGGCCATTTTATGATTTTGATTGATCTTCCTTTATCACATTGATGATTAGGTTGAGAAGAAATGTGATGTATGCTCTCAACATGATGAAATAGCATCATCTACAGAGAAAATTGATGATAGCTTGTTGTCCATGCTTAATGAATCCCAGGCTAGTGCAGTACTTACTTGTCTTCAAAGGGTGAAATGCGACCAATTCTCTCATGTTGATCTTATATGGGGCCCTCCCGGTACTGGGAAGACAAGTACTATTAGCATACTTCTGTTTATGCTCTTTAAAAGAAAGTGTAGAACGCTTATTTGTGCACCTACAAATGTGGCAATAACACAAGTTGCTTCTAGGGTGTTAAGGCTGCTTCAGGACTCTTATAAAGAAGAATCATCAAAGGAGAGTCTATTATATCCATTGGGTGACATTGTCCTATTTGGAAACAAGGATAGGTTGAAGCTGGGTGAATACATTGAGGATATCTATCTAGACTATCGTGTTGAAAGGCTTGCTGAGTGCTTTGGTCCACTAACTGGCTGGAGACACTGCATTCGTTCTGCAATTTCTTTTCTTGAAGATTGTGTTTCTGACCACGAAATCTTCCTGGAGAATGAATTAATAAAAATGAGAGCGTTAACTGAGAATGGTGAATCTTTGAAGGAATGCGTAGAACCTATATCCTTTGCTGATTTTTTAAAGTCACGGTTTGAGGGTGTAGTATCACCTGTCAGAAGATGCCTGTTTATAATGTGCACTCACATACCAAGGCATTTCCTTCAAGAACATAATTTCCAAGATATGGTTTCCCTGATTTTCATTCTGGATTCTATGAAAGAAACTTTATATCAGAAGCATACAAGATCTGATGAAGAGCTGAAGGAAATCTTTTCACAACCAGTAAACTCGGAAGTTGCATCCGAGTCATTTGCAGATACATCGTCGTTGGTCTGTTTAAGAATACAATGTGTCTCCATTCTTAAAATCCTTCTACGTTCTATTGGAGAACTGGATATTCCTAGTTCCTTATATGGGGTTTCAATTAAGGAATTTTGTTTAAAGACGCCATCCTTGGTTTTCTGTACCTCTTCGAGTTCTTTTCGGATGCATTCAATTGAAATGGAACCGTTCAGCTTACTGGTAATTGATGAAGCTGCTCAGATGAGGGAATGTGAATCGATTATACCACTTCAACTTCCTGATTTGCAGCATGCAATTCTTGTAGGTGATGAATGCCAATTACCTGCAATTGTTCATAGCAAAGTGAGCATTCTTTTAATTCTTTGTAGTGTTTTAGTGTCTTGAATCTACTCACTGAGTACCTTCTCGCTCCTAATAACATGTATATTTGTTGGTAGGTGTCTAATGCAGCTGGGTTTGGAAGAAGCATGTTTGAAAGACTAAGTTCATTGGGTCATCCAAAGCTTATGCTCGATGTGCAGTACCGAATGCATCCAGCTATAAGCCGCTTCCCGAATTCGAGCTTCTATCATAATCAACTCCTAGATGCTCCAAATGTGCAGTGTAAAACCTACGAGAGGCAGTATCTTCAGGGCAAAATGTTTGGTCCATATTCTTTTATAAATGTCCCTAGCGGAAAGGAAGAAGTGGATGATGTCGGGCACAGCAGAAGGAATATGGTTGAAGTTGCTTTAGTAATGAAGATAGTGCAGAACTTGTTCAAATGTGAGTCAACACTTTGATTTTTTTTTTTTTTTTTGTTTCCAGCCTCTCTACTTTCCGGTAGGGGAAAGGGCTGCGTATACACACCCTCTCCAGACCCCACTTTCGTGCAATCCAGCTGGTTCGTTGTTCTTGCATTTATACTGTTTGGATTCATCAATATCTACAACTTGGCTTTTGCTCACCTGTTTCTTGAAAGTGTGCTGATATCTTTATATTATAGTGCTCTAATCAAGTTTGGCTTCAAGGACATCAAGCATATAACCCTTCTTTTATCCCAAGCCTTTTTTTTTACACCCACTAATGCCGAAATTAGGAGAGTGATAGTTTCATTTAGAGTGATCCTGATTCATATTCTTGTTTCAGTTCCAGTGTTGTATTCATTTCAAAGCTCATAGTAATGTTCCAATTTCTTTGAGCTATTGTGTAATGTTTCAACTATTTTTAATTTTTTCCAAAAATGTTATTTACCCAGTTTGGCGTAACACAAAGACTAAACTAAGCATTGGTGTTATATCACCCTATGCTGCGCAAGTTATTGCCATAAGAGATAAAATTGGCAAAAGGTACGACAACCTTGATGGCTTCGCAGTTAATGTAAAGTCTGTTGATGGTTTCCAAGGTGGAGAAGAAGACGTAATAATATTATCAACTGTGAGATCTAATCGTGCTGGCACTATTGGTTTTATGAGTAGTTTGCAAAGAACCAATGTTGCATTGACCAGGGCCCGGTATGTGTACTCTTCTTATCTTTTCCGATTTGAAAGTAATGTTACCTAATGCACCCTTTAAGCTTTTCTTATGTTTCTTGTAGGCACTGTTTATGGATATTGGGAAATGAAAGGACGTTGGTTGATAGCAGTTCTGTTTGGGAAGCATTAGTTCTAGATGCAAAGAAACGGCAATGCGTCTTCTCTGCTGCAGATGATTGTGATCTTTCGAGAACTATTTTGGATGTCAAGAAAGAATTGGATCAACTTGATGACCTCCTTAATGCAGACAGCATCTTATTCAAAAATCAAAGATGGAATGTAAGAACGGCTCGCTTGTTTATATATGTCATTACTAGATTAGATATAGTTCTTGTAATGCTATTTGGGAATGAATTTGCTTGTTTTTGGTCATTCCATACAACCTATTTGCTTTCTCTAATTCTTGTGGAAAATATGACCTTTTTGGATAAGTTTGAGGGGAGTGAAGGGGTTTTAACTACTATAAATCGGTGAAGGGTAGTTGAAAAGTTAAATTCAATGGTATTGAGAGTGATACATTATTAATATCTTGTTCTTAATGCTTTCAGCTCTAGTTATATGCCTTCTGAAATCAGTTCTTAAAATGATCTTTGATGAATATATTTTTTAAATATTTACAATTTCGCTCATCTTTCACACATATCATCTTGAAAAAGTTTGATGCTCTTATTCTTTTTAGTTTTTGCATGTTACTTCGTGGCCAAATGTTTTTGTTAGTAATAGGACTTCCATTGTGGTTATTAGGTCTTGCTGAGTGACAATTTCAAAAGATCATATAGAGGCTTGGGGTCATCCCATTTGAAAAAGTCAGTGCTTAATCTTTTACTTAAGCTGGCCGGGGGATGGAGACCGAAGAGAAAAGGGGTGGATTCGGTGTGTGAAAGTTCATCACAGATTGTGAAACAGTTTAAGGTTGAAGGGCTATTTATAGTCTGCACAATTGACATTCAGAAAGAGTTTAAATACACCCAAATTTTGAGGGCTTGGGATTTATTGCCTCTTGATGAGGTTGGAAAGTTGTTGAGACGACTTGATAGCATATTCGCCATGTATACAGATGATTTTATCAATTTGTGCACGCAGAAGTCCCTCGAAGGGTATGTTGGTTCCTGCATATCACTCGCAATAGTAAGAAAAGTTTTAACTTCTAAATTGCTTTTATTTTATTTTATTTTATTTTATTTTTGCCTAGGGACTTGGAAGTTCCAAAAGTTTGGTCAGCTTCTCAAGATCTGGTAAGGTTCAAGAGTCTTAGTGAGAGATCAGTTGATAACTCGAATGACGGTGTGGTAGAGGGTAGAAGTTACATTGAAAATTCAAGAGTGAGTGAGAGCTTACTCTTGATGAAATTTTACTCCTTATCATCTGGTATTGTCAACCATTTGCTCTCTGACAACCTTGGCGAAGAAGTTGATATCCCTTTTGAAGTCACGGATGAGGAAAAGGAGATTATTAAATCGGGCAGGAGTAGTTTCATACTGGGCCGATCAGGCACTGGTAAAACTACAGTTTTGACCATGAAGTTATTTCAAAAGGAACAACAACACCATCTGGCCTTGGGAGGCATCAGAGAAGTGGAGACAAATGAGATCAACAAGCATGCTGGTGAAAGTAGCTTTGCAAGTTCTGAGATTGCAACCACTTCTCAATCCGAAATTGAGGCCAAGAGAAGCACCTTAAGGCAGCTTTTTGTTACTGTTAGTCCAAAGCTATGCTATGCCGTTAAACAACAAGTTTCTCATTTGAAATGGTGAGGTTGAACCTTCATTTTTACTTGCTTTCAGATTCTATGATCTATTTACATCTCCTTGTTTCTCAATGCAAGGTGATGCAATTGTTAAATTTAGAGTCAAAAGACACTATGTAGTAGTTACTAGTTACCGGGATTCACTTGTTGTGTTTAATCGGCAATGATTATATTAATTTTTTCCTGATCGATCAAGAAATTATCTGATCTCCATCCTCCCGATAGCTCAATAAATTTGGTTGTATTGTGATTATAGCTTTTCTAATTGAAGGAATATTTTATTACTGGTTTGTAACATTGAACCTTTAATGTGCCTGCAGCTTTGCTCAAGGGAAAACATTCTCTGATGAGAACAGTCTTATTGATATGATGGATGATTTGGATGGATTGTCTCATTTTAAAGATATTCCAGATTCTTTTGTTGGCATTCCAGAAAGCAAATACCCCCTGGTTGTTACATTTCGCAAGTTCTTGATGATGTTTGATGGAACATTGCAGACTTCATATTTTGACCGTTTCCATGACAAGAGGTTAACCACCGTAGAAACTTTCATAAGAACAAAGGAGGTTAACTTTGACCGCTTTTGTTGCTTGTATTGGCCTCATTTCAACTCCCAACTGAGAAATCATCATGATGCCGCAAAGGTGTTCACCGAAATCATTTCACATATAAAGGGAGGACTGCGAGTATGTGAGGCCCGTAATGCTAAACTCAGCCGGGAGAAGTACATTTCAATGTCTGAGAATAGGGCATCGACTTTGAATGAGAATAAGAGACAGGAAATTTATGACATCTTTCTTGATTATGAAAAAATGAAGATGGAGCGAGGGGAATTTGATTTGGCTGATTTAGTGAATGACCTCCATCTTCGGTTGAATGAGGAAAATTTGGAGGGTGACAAAATGGATTTTGTATATATTGATGAAGTTCAAGATCTCACGATGAGACAGATTTCACTCTTCAAGTATATTTGCCACAATGTTGATGAAGGCTTTGTGTTCTCTGGTGATACAGCCCAGACAATTGCTAGGGGTATAGAATTTAGGTTTGAAGACGTGCGGACTTTGTTCTATGAGGAGTTTGTGATGAAAGGTGGCCGGCATGCTACACGTAAAGATAAAGGCCATCTTGCTGCAATTTCATGTTTACTTCAGAACTTTCGCACACATGCTGGTGTTCTGAGGCTTGCACAGAGTGTGATTGATATACTCTCTCACTATTTCCCTCTCTCCATCGATGCTCTGGAACCAGAGACCAGTCTCATATATGGTGAAGCTCCAGTGCTGCTAAGACAAGGAAGCAATGAAAATGCTATTGTAACTATCTTTGGTAACAGCGGTAGTGTTAGTGGGAAGATGGTAGGATTTGGTGCGGAACAAGTGATATTAGTGCGCGATGAGTCTGCCAAAGAGGAAGTTTCTGCTCTTGTTGGAAAACAAGCGCTTATTCTAACAATAGTTGAATGTAAAGGATTGGAGTTTCAAGTAAGTGTGCTGAACTAAGACTGCTAGAGCATGCTGCATACTTTTTCTTAACATTTTCAACCGTTTTTCTTATCAGCCAGTGTATATCTTCTAGGAAAATTTTTTACATTCATTGAAATGATTTTTCTTTCCTTAAATCATAAACGGCTGTAACTATATTTCTTGTGTTTTTTAAAACCAAGACATTGATGATGTTTAGTTTTGGTCACAAAATGTCACAATGGACTAAATCAAAATGGGACATTGAACTTCCCATGCTACTGACTTTCTGTCAAGTTTTGGAGAGTAAATGCAACAATGAAACTAGGGTCAAATAGAAAATGTCTATGTTTTCACATGGTTCAGATTACATATATGTTGACCACTTGACCTCCCATACCCGAACAGATTTGGGATTATACGGTGGTGTTGTCTCAACATATTGGTGAGATGTCTTTTGATCATTTTTAGAAGTAAAACTGACCGCTGCTCTGTTTTTGTAGGACGTGCTGCTGTACAACTTTTTTGGTACTTCACCACTGAGAAGCCAGTGGAGAGTAGTGTATGAATTTATGAAACACCATGATTTACTCGACTCGAGATTTTCTCAGAGCTTCCCTTGTTTTACTGAAGCAAGGCACACAATTATGTGTTCTGAACTGAAGCAGCTATATGTTGCTGTAACTCGGACAAGGCAACGATTATGGATCTATGAACGAGTTGAGGAGCTTTCAAAACCCATGTTTGATTACTGGATGAAACTGGGCCTTGTGGAAGTAAGGGATGTTGATGAATCTCTTGCACAAGCTATGCGCTTGGCAAGCACCCCCGAGCAATGGAAATCTCGCGGATTGAAAGTAACTTGATCTTTCCTTTTAAAATATTAATTTGAATTTCTACTATTCTTGATATAGACAAACCCTTTGTCCCTTTATTTTTGGAATGTGGGAGAGGCACAAATTTTGGAAACGTGGAATTCTGTTTGGTAGTGTTCGGAAACTAGGAATTCATTTAAATTTCCAAACTGGCCATTACCAAATCTGTGAAGTATAATTAATATAAGTCACACAGGCCATACAAAATATGATATTGAGCAAATACTTTAAGAGAAAAGCAAAATGAAAAATAACACAAATATATTGGGGCAAAAGGAGTATGTTGTTTATATGCTTGGTGCTAGAATCTATTCTCTAATACTTGTGGCATTTATTATGATTTGCAGCTCCTCTGGGAGAAAAATTATGAAATGGCGATCATGTGTTTTGAACGAGCTGGAGAAAAGACACTTGAGAAGCAAGCTAAAGCATCCAGTCTCCGGGAAACTGCTTACCGGATGCAAGATTCAAATCCCAAAGCCTCTAACTCTAATCTTAGGGAAGCTGCTGAAATATTTGAGTCGATTGGAAGGTTCAAGTCTGCTGCTGAATGTTTCTGTGACTTGAAGGAATATGAACGTGCAGGTAAATTACATCCCAATTTTCTCATAATCACCCATTCTTACACTTGCATTTTGCATTTGAACTGTAGTGGTTAATTTTTTGTATTTTCATCTATATGAAGGAACTATGTACTTGAAGAAATGTGGTGAACATGAGCAGAAAAAGGCTGCCGAGTGTTTTACATTGGCGGGATGTTATGAAACTGCAGCAGAAATATATGCAAAGCAAAACTGTTTCTCGGAGTGTTTATCAGTTTGCAGCGTTGGGCACCTTTATGAATTGGGATTTCAATATGTAGAACAATGGAAACAATATGCTGCCCATCATAATGATTTGGGTGAAAGGGCGAAGGAATTAGATAGAATCGAGCAGGAATTTCTAGAAAGGTGTGCATCTAATTACTTAGAGTGCAATGACAAGAGATCAATGATGAAGTTCATCAAAGCCTTCAAGTCAATGGATGACAAGCGGAGGTTCTTGAAGAATCTGAATTTTCTGGATGAGTTATTACTTTTAGAAGAAGAAGCTGGAAATTTTGTTGAAGCTGCTGAACTTGCTAAACTGAAAGGGGATATTCTACTAGAGGCGGATCTTCTAAGCAAAGCTGGGAATTTCAGCAAAGCAACCTCGCGTGTCCTGAAGTATGTGTTAGCCAATTCTTTGTGGGTTCGTGGAGGCAAGCCATGGCCTCTGAAGTCTTTTGAGTCCAAGGACGAACTACTGAAGAAGGCCATCTCATTTGCAAGGAATGAATCTGATCCTTTCTATGAATCTGTTTGTACTGAGGCAAAGGTGTTGGAACACAACCCAAGCAACATGTGTGAATTGAGGCGTGCTCTAAGTGCTTCTGGGAACTGTGGGAGTGTTACATGTGAAATTTTATGTCTCAGAAAATTTATAGATGCACACACTGAGGTTCGAGCAGCAAGTTATTCATGGGAAGATGAGTTTCCGGTTGACATGAATTTCCCGGATGATACAATGTTCTGTAACCAGCTCTCCATTGGATCCCTCTGTCACTTTTGGAATTTATGGAAGAAAAATGCATTTGACATTCTTGAATCCCTCCATTGTCTTGAGGTAACCCAAGATTTTGGTAAATATAGTGGCTTTGGTGAGTTCTGCCTGAGCTATTTTGGTGTGAGGCGACAGTTCAGTGATACGAAAGCCAACTATGCTGTTTTAAATCCTGAAGCTGATTGGTTTACAAAGGTGAACAAGAGTTTCATTAGGCAGGATAACCAAATGTTCTCAATTGATGACAGGCAGTTTATACTTGCTGCTCGGAATTACTGGCAGAGTGAGGTAATCTCTGTAGGTGTCAAGGTTCTGGAAATACTCAAATCTATTTATGATAGCATTTCCATGCAGTCATTCTATGTGTTTAGACAAGCCTTGTGCCTGATTAATATATATCAGATCTCAAAGAGTCTTCTTGAGTCCAAGGAGTTAAATAGCAAGAATTATGAGGGGAAGCTAGTCAATTTCTTTCAGCTCTCGTTGAGGTACTTTGATGCCATGTTTCCTATTCATTTTCGGGTGTCTACGGAAGAAAACATGATTTCTATGCGAGGAACTGAAGTTTCAAGAAGTTTACTTGAAGAGTACATCAGCTGTGATCATAGTAGAAAAGGTGAACCTGTTGCTACACTTGGGCAAATCGGACGATTTGTGATGATATGGTTTGGTTCTGCCAAACCTGCAGATGAACTGTGCAATAAGGTCATGTCAAGAATAAGAGGTGGTTCAGCATGGTTGGCTTTCGTAGATAGTCTAAGGAGCGAGAAGGAGCCAAGGGAGTTAGTTCACAGGTTCCATCAAGCTTTGCTAGAAACATATCAAACCTATTGGCGCAACATGAATGACTATATTTCACCTCACTGCTTTCTATATCTTGTGGAGCGTTTCTTAGATTTGGTTTTCTGCTCCAATCCCACCTTTTTCACAACCAAGTCGTCTTTCGTGGAGTGGTTGATGCTTCAGAAACCAGATGCCATTGTCACTTGCAGCTTTCAACCTCCAGAGCCTTACATGTTCTATGAATCCATTCTCCCCATGCTGCATGATCTGCTCTTCAAGAATGTTGAGAGAGGTGAATGGGTTGGGAAGTTTGGAGTTGAATCTCGCGAATATCACAAATCGCTGGTTTTGAGGCTGGCGATTATTCTCTGCACAATTTGCATGAACTATGACGCTGCTGGACCCGTGAATATTCTCAACAAAGCACTTAATACCTATTATGTTTCGTGTAACCTTCCACGAGAGTTCACTCAAGCTTTTAGAAGAGGGGGGAAAGTGTATGTAGACCGAGAAAGAATTGCTGCTGCTCTCTGTGCAATAGGGAACCCTGTTTTTCATGTGTGGGTGAATCAAAATGCTCCAAGATTTGTGTGTCCCAGCGCTGTTCGGATACAAATCAGCGTGAATTCTAGTAGAGAAGACATCATGGAGATGGTGTTCCCAAGGAAAAGAGCTGCTTCAGCCGGGCACGAAGAACAACAAGAAGATGCTGGTAAGAAGATGAATCCATGCTGTCTGCTTCCCCTGAGTGTGTATCATGGCAATAAGAGTTCTGTAATGGAATCCTCCCCAGCCATCAAAGAAGCCCCCATGCAAAATCAGGCACCAAAGGTCGAGGAGGAGGAGGAGAAAAGCACATTGCAAATGAAATGGTCTGTTTTGGATGAAGCTTCCGACTTCCTGAAATTAAAGGTAAAACATCCTATAAACACCGACTCGTTACCCCCTTTTTTTCTGTTGTTGTGCATGATCCAATGCTGAATTTTGTTTTCTTTTTCTTCTCTGTATATGTTTTGAAGGAGGATTTGGATGAATGCATGAAATTTACCACTGCTGTGCTTGATTATTTGACTGGGAAGAAGGAGGTGGCATCCTCTTGGGAAGACACAAATATTTGTGAGGAAGTACAAGGCTTTCTTCAAGAACTCAAACAACTGTCAGACTATTTGGATACCAGGTGAGCCAATAGTTTCTCTGCTTATGTGATTTGCAATGGTTTCTTGCCTCTTCAATTATAATAGAAAAGAAAACTAAGAGGCAATTGTGAAACAAAATCTGCAGTTGCGAAGAGGAGAAGCGCGAGAAGGTTGCAGAAGTGCAGGAGAAGCTGTCATTGCGGAAGCCCAGAGTGGAAGGTTTCCTGGGCAGTGTCACTGTGACAAAAGACAGCGGCAGGATTACTGTCGTGGAGGCTGAGAATGATCATAAACTGCCTGGAAATGAAAATGCAAGCGAAGAAGATGATGAGAAGGAGGAGGACGAGTGCTATAAAGCGATGGAGTCTGAGAAGGGGAAGAAGAATCAGGGCAAGCAGCCAAAGCAGCAGCAGCAGCAAGGGAAGAAGAGCAAAAACAAGAACAAAAAACGAAAAGGAGGCCACAAAAAGAAGTGATTTAATCTGTTGAACAATGAATGAATCCATGTGTTTTGTGTTTGTATATATATGGGTTGGTTGGTCCTTTTGAGATTCTAATCTGTTCCTCTTCATTTGAAACTGGAATCTGTCTACGTAAATGCATGCATGGCTTCCATTCATTAGTCTGTCCACTTTCCACACTATTTTGACACCACTATCCCATGAGGGTAGTGATCCGAAATTCATTGAATAACACACATCTTAGAAATAACTATTAACCTGCACAACACAAGTGATTAGGAAAAAGTATTTTCATAAACATGAATATATCTTTTGATAATTAAATAACTATTAACTACCTGCGCCACACAAGTGATTAAACAAAAAATATTTTGATTATGTAATTTATCGACGCTTATTATAATAAACTAGTATCACACTCATGCATTGCACAGATCATATTTACGTTACTATATTGCATTATCATTTTTGAATGATACAAATTGGTATATCAAATAAAAATAAGAGAAAATAGTGCACCTTGCATCCCACAAAACATAACTCATTTTGATGTATTTTTGGTCAAATGAGGGGAAGAGGCAGTTGGAGGAGGCTTTCTATAGCAAAGGCAATTCACACATGGTTTTTGGTTCTTTTAACATGTCTTTTACACTTTAAATATATATATATATATATATATATATATATATATATATATATATGGGTATGCCATGCCTCTGTCACGCTAGTTTGCGATGGCCCGCTATAACGGGGCATGATGCCTCTTCATGTCCATGCGTCAGTCCCCATAACACACAATCTAGTGTAAAATAAGAAAAGAGGATATTTAAATTTAACTTAAGTAAAAAAATAAGAAAAGAGAACACTTAAACTCAACATTCAATATTTTTCTATCCCTAAAAAAAGAGACCCTAGATAGTTAAATGTTCTAAAAAATTTATATAGCCAAAGTGGCAAACAACTTGTTTGAAGGTACTCATAAAAGGAGATCCATCATAGTAATATTTGATAATATAGAACTAAAAATAATGAAGCACCCAGTTATAATAAATCAATTATAAAATTTTACTCTCATATATAAGAAATTATTTAAGCTGTGTTACTCTTTGACCCAATAATATAAAAATATGTATTAAATTTTAATACAAATTTAGTAAAATATAGTGTTGATATATCAGATTTTTATACTACGACTTTAGTAAAATTCAATTGTTTAACAATATTCTTAATTGTTATGCTTTTTTTTAACAAAGGAAGTATAGTCCATATAAAAAATATGGTGACAAATGAAACATTATACTCCCTCCGTTCCAGAGTATTTGTCCACTTTCATTTTTACACACCATCCAATGCAGTTCTTTAATCCATTTTATCTTGTAATTTATATATTAAAAAATTATAGAAATTATATATTAATAATCTATATGTTAAGACAAATCAAACAAGATCACACAAGACTATATTTAAGCTTACACATTGAGAGAATTTGATGAGTCAAAGTGCCTAGATGAACAGTTCCAAAAATCAAAAGTGGACAAAAACTGGGAGACGGAGGGAGTAATACTTTTTATTAATCTCAATTTATTGAAAGAAAAAATAGACATAAAAATACATGTCTCGACCAAAATTGTACTCCCTCCTCTCATTTTAAATTACCAGTTTTTCTTTTTTGCCCGTCTCAAAATAAGTTAAATGTTTCTTATTTTAGAAAAATTTTAAGGGTAAAATACCTAAATTACCCCTAAAATAAGTCATTCATCTTCACCTTATCTTCTCAGTCATGGTCATTTCCCTACAATGGTAAAGACATTTTTGAAAAGTTTTTTCTTCCTTAAATATGCCCTAAATTCAAAACGGATAATATAAAATGAGAGGGAGGAAATATACATGAATAACAAAATGATGTGTGACTAACGATGCTAATGGAAAGAAATATTTATTGGATCCCGAGTGTTATGTAACAATTAAGAATTAAAGTACACCAATATGAGGTACCTCATATGTAAACCAAGCCAACACAGACACACAATGTCTGTGCAGCACAGATATTTTGTGTCTGTGTGTGTCTATGTTGACTTGGTGTATACATGGGACACCCCACTTTAATGTATGCTTAGCATTGCACAGTAATTAATGGAGCAGAGAAGGACTATCATTTTAGAAAAATGCTAGGGGTACACCAAATGTGTACCCCATTTGTCTCCCACCTCCTCCTTGTCCACAAAGAAAAGGTAAAAAATTCAAAATAAATAAATAATTAAAAATAAAATAAAAATAAGTGGTGTAGAAGGGGGTGGTGTACCCCTAGCATTGCTCATCATTCTATCATTGATGGAAGAGAGAAGGACTATTGTAAATTTTAAGTTGTGCTTCTAATTTATGATAAGACAAATAGGGTTAAATATGTTTTTAATTTCTTTAAAATAGTTGATTTTTTTTTGTCCATATAAATTTTATTTTGTTAAGTCATCCTTGCAAAATATTTTATTTTTAAAATGATCTTAAGGATAAGTTTCATCCTTAATTTATTAACACATTTATTTCCTATTAAACATTTAGTATTGGGTTTCTACTAAATTGATACAATTCTCATGCTCTATATTATATCCTTATTTATATTGCATCTCTGACTCCTAATTTTTTTAAGGAAATACTCCCTCCGTCCCCCAGTTTTTGTCTACTTTCATTTTTACACATCATCCAATGCACTTCTTTAATCTATTTTATCTTGTAATTTGTATATTAAAAAATTATAGACATTATATATTAATAATCTATATGTTAAGACAAATCAAACAAGATCACACATGACTATATTTAGGCTTACACATTGAGAGAATTTGATGAGTCATAGTGCTTAGATGAACAGTTCCAAAAGTCAAAAGTGGACAAAAACTAGGGGACGTAGGGAGTAGTACAATAAAAATTAGAAATTTGGAATGTAATTTAATGAAAAAGGTGACCTTTGACATGAAAATTGTGTTTGAGGAAATTTAAAATCCAAATTAAGATGTTGAGTACAAATAAATTTGCTATCTCAACAAATTAGAAATGTAAATTATGCTCAATGACCATTTTCAAAGTAAAAAAAAGTATAAAGGTGACTTAACAAAAAAATATTTTATAGTGACAAAAAACAAAAATCACCAATTTTACAATGACTAAAAATATATTGAAACACTAAGGGTACTTAAAAGTTTTGAAGTTCACCTTTTGGCAACTTTGAAATTTGAATTCTTAGTGAATTTGAACATAGTGCTACGGTTCTAAGAGCATCTTGAACCATTTTTACTTAATTGGTTTGTTATTTTTATATTTTAACAAGTAATTTGTCAAGTAACTTTTTATTTTATTATCTTACCATGACTTGTTAATTTATTCTATAACTTTTACTCCGTAACTTCCTATAGTTTGAAGAGTTTTTTATATTTAGCAAGTCAAACTAATTTTTGACAAACTTGTTAAAATATCACACATCCATTAGAAAAGAGAAAAATTAATGAATGTGTGATATCCATTAATTGATCCTACATGCTAAAGTAGGATGATTAGAGATACATTAACCCTCAATTATTATTGGATCTAATCTTTGGATCCACATAATTCGGGTCGGGCGGATCCTGAGGTGGGATTATCGATCTAGAGACCCAAGGCGCAAAGAGAGTTCCATGCACAGCACCACGTGGCAGGGTGTGATTGGAGGTTGACTTCCGGTCGTCGTTCCAGCCAATCACGTTCCCAATTTACCCTTTGTTCGAATCCCCAAATTAAAGCATTACCTGAACCCTAACCACTCTCTCCCACCTCCCCTCTGCTCAGACGCAGGCCATGGCTCTCTTATTATTGCTCTGAAGTTTTTTTCCAGTGAGTCTTTTTCTTCTTCATTCGATTCTTTGAATACTTATTTATACGTATATTATACGGAGTATATAAAATCAGTCTAATAGCAAATTGTCCCCCCCCCCCCGCAATTCGTCTGTTTCAATTGGTTTGCTGCAAGATAACCTTTTTATCTCTTTCTTTGGAAATATTACTTTTTTTTAGAGCTGTTATTGTTCGTCCGTTATTGATTTCATCTCCTTCTGGTGAAAATGACGCCTTCTGGATAAAGTTTATGGCTTCTTTGCCATGAATTTATTGGATTCTGGTGCATTAAATGAGGCGATTGACTATCTATTTCCTCAGTTTCTCTCTGTTTTTGCAATATGTGCTCTAAAAATGTTTTTTTTTAAATAAAAAGATCTGATCTTTTTAACATTGCCAAACTTTAGTTCAACCTGAATTCTGCTAATGTGATGCTTGGTATAGTTGAAGAAAATTGAAGAAATCTTAATACAACAGGACCTGATTAAAGATAGAAACTTTAGATGAATCGATAAGTTTTTGTCTGTTGGGCAGTAGATGCAACAATGCATCAAGGGTAACATTGCGTGCATGTTAACCCCTTGGCCTCAACATTGCTGGAATTATACTGGTTCTGTTGTTGTTGATACTCTCAATATGATGGAACAATTTGTTTGAACGGTCTCCCCTTATTTGCCATGCAAGTTTTGTTATTTATGAAATTTAAGATATGATATGGTAGACATATTGCAGTGGAGTTATTGACCTTTTTTGGCAATAATAATATTGATACATGTGAAGCAATAAGGCTAGAGATGGTGACATGGTGTTCATGGCGCACCAGTCCGTTCGAAATAATAAGAGCAGTAATAAAACAAGTCATTTATCCCATTGAAATGCTCTACACAGTTTCAAGAATTTGAAGAACGGAGCTTATATTTCTTTTGTTCTGTTCCATTCTTAGTTAGTTAGTTTGCTGGTTTGATGACCTAATGAATTGTCTATTTATAGTGGATTTTGAGACTGATGGTGATTTAAATGGGGAGGTGGTGGTGGGATCTTCTATCATTGATGTTGGGGCTTGTGTTGAAAATTCAATTGAAGATGCCTTTCACCATGGACCCAATGTTAGAACTGACCATGACCATTCTGGAAGGGATTTAGTAGCTTCAATAGAAGAAGAAGATGATGATGATGATGATGATGATGACACAGATACTACTGTCAGTAATTCAGTTTCAAGTGATCCTTATGTGGGCCAAGAGTTTGAATCGGAGGCAGCTGCACATGCATTTTACAATGCATATGCGACTAGAGTTGGTTTCATTATCCGTGTCAGCAAGCTCTCTCGTTCTAGAAAAGACGGTTCTGCCATTGGCCGAGCCCTTGTTTGCAACAAAGAGGGCTTCAGGATGGCTGATAGGAGGGAAAAGGTTGTGAGACAAAGAGCAGAAACTAGGGTTGGTTGCAGAGCAATGATTTTAGTTAGAAAAGTTAGCTCTGGCAAATGGACAGTGACCAAATTTGTGAAGGAACACACCCATCCGTTAGCTCCCGGTAAAGGCCGTAGGGAATCAATCTATGACCAATTTCCGGTTCGTTCCCTCTCCTGTATTTTGTGACCTATCTCTTTGTCTTGTGTGTTATATCCTCTTAGTCTGAGAATTGTTACTTACCTTATGTTCTTCCATATTGTAGTTTATTGTGTCTGCTTTGTTAAATTTGTTTTTTCTTTAGTTTCAAATTGTTGTTAGGGGCAAGGTTGTGTACATCTTGACCCCCTATACCCCCAAGAATTTGGGATTATCATGGGTTTGTCATTGTTGTTAAACTTATTGATGCGATTTCTAGATTTACTTGAAAATAATAATCATGCTCTCACATGTTAGATGATGTAGTCAATTCAATCGAAATCTATCTAGAAGGGTCAGCCATCCCAAGGTGGCTGGTGCTGGCTTTGTGGTCAAGTGCATCTAGAATTAAATTAGAGGTGGTACCTCATGCACAAGCATTCATTGCCAAAAGAATGAAAAGAGTCATTATCGAGAATCTTTTAGCTTCGGGCAAAAAATGACTAAATTGAAATGACACATTAAACTTCGTTTGCTTCTTACCTTTTATGAGGTTTTGGGTACTAAAAGGAGCAATGTATCAACATTGAAAAGGAAACAGCCTCTCTGTTTTATAGGGGTAAGGTTGCGTACATCTTGACCTCCAAACTCCAACAGAGTTGAAAATAGGGATTACAGTGTGTTATGTTGGTGTTGTTGTAGTAATCATGTGGGAAAAAAAATTTCAACCACCAAAAATCCAACTCTTGTAAAGGACTTGTTTCTATCAAAGATCCTTGTTTTCAACAGAGAGCTTTAGATATTATAGCCGAATCAGGCATCTGGTATTGTTCTCAGCTCTTACTACTGTCATCTGATGATGTTTGTGGTTTTATATGTGTAGAACGAACACGATAAAATTAGGGAACTCTCTCAACAACTGGCAGCCGAAAAGAAGCGCTCGGCAACTTACAAAAGACACCTGGAAATGCTATTTGAGCATATCGAGGAGCACGATCGATACCTGTCCAATAAAATCCAAGATATTGTGGCCAATGTAAGGGAACTGGAGAGTAAAGACCAGCAGAATTGTAGTAGATAGCTAGGGGATCTCTCTCTTGCCACTCTCATCTCGCATCTGAATAGGGAAGAAGAAGAAGAAGAAGAAGAAGAAGAAGAAGAAGTGATCTCAAGAATGCTACGAACATCGCAGGTTTAATTAGCACTTGTTTGGTATATACACATTTTTCTTAAGTTACTCAGTACATGATTTAGAGAGTGCAAGAAGTGTCAAACTCTTGCATAATTCATCTTTTCTGTAAAAAAGACAAGAAGAAAAAGAAAATTCCTTGTAAAGCTGCAGCAAATCACAAGTCACATGAAACAGACCACCTGGTATATTGAATGAAAAGTGGGATAGAATGAAATGTGTCACTCACAATGTTCTTTAAAGTTTGATTCCCTTTGATGTTAAGCCACATATGTTGCTTTATTGTCTACAAACACACTTAGCTTCTTGTTGCAACTGGGGTGGGGGGTGGGGGTGGGGGTGGGGGTGATATTCCCTTTCCTGTCCCCACCTGGTCACCTAGGATTGATGGTGTGTTTTGTTCCCACTCCTCTTTAATTCCCTTTTATGTTGGGCACTTTTAAGTTAAAAGTGCCATTGGAATTGTGATCCTATATCAGGGAAGGGGAAGAAGTATTTCTTGGGCTAAAAAAAGAAACTTATGATATTTTGCATTGGAAAGATTATAGATAGATTAAAGAAACTTATCATATTTTGCATTCCCAATTTTAGCCCTTATTGATAGGTGTATAGCTTTGATAGTATGAATAAATAAAATAAATAAACTTATGTTACGGAGTACATTTCTTATTAGTGTTGTTTTCAATTCACATTGATTACGGAGTAAACAATAGTGCTCCCATTACAAAGACACAAACATGGAACATTACTCCCTCCCTTTATTTAGCTTCTACTCATTTACAAAGTACCCCATAGTAATTTTTATAGTCTTCAGTTTTACATTTTGACCGTTAACATTTTGATTTATATACGGAGTACTATTTTATACTCGGTGTTATAATAATATTTTCGGTGTGCGATACGATGTTTGACTTAAATTATTTTAAAATCATTTTATATAAAAAATCGTATGAAATTAAAAGATAAAAATGATATATTTAAAAATTACATGATAAGATCACAAAATTATAGATGACATGACTATATTATTTTATCAGATGTGCAACGAAAATATGCAAAAAAAGTAAATAAAGTTTGACTCTAAATAGTGAATGAGAACATTATTGCTTGACGGAAGGAGTATATTTTTTTCATAATTTGTGGGAAAAAATTTAAAATGATGATCATGAAAACTCAAATGAGAAGAAAATAAGTACACGAATGGAGTACTAAATATGGTTTGAAGCAAAACAAAAAAAAGGGACATACAAAAAGGGAAAAAAATGACAAAAGAGAATGAAGCATAGGGTGTGTGAATTATTTCAATAAAAAATATAAAATCTAAAAAGTATACTTTATACATATAAGTTTTCTTTTAACTTTTTAATTTTTATTTTAACTCTTTCTAGTTATACCAGGTCGCTTCCAATTTCTTTTTCAATCTTTTTTACTTGTTTCAATTTTATTTTACTTACAGTTTTTTTCTAACTTCGCTCATCCAACCGAAATGAAAAGAGGCCTTAGTTTCGGGCCGGGCCGAGTTTCGGGCCGGAGCGAGATGTTACATTACTAGAGCTAACTAGGCCCGAGATGTAATATTTGCGGGTACCCGTAATTTTACGGGTAGGGTGGGCCGAACAATAAAACTCAAGCCCAAGCCGCTATTTTTCAAGCAGGGCCTATCATGTCTGGTCAAATATCTGGACCGATGATCGAGTCTATATATATACCCAAGAGATTAACAACAATTATTTTTTCATATAATTAAATACAGAGTAAAATTTAAAGAACACATGTATTAACATTTAAGTTATGACTTATGAGTGTTTGATTGTAGAAATCTCCTTGCTCTCTGCAGTGATTTGACTGTTTGGAAAATAACTCACTCTGCTAATGAAGCAATGCATTTGTTAGCACGAGCTTCTCATTCTCCATAGAGTTTAAATGAGTGGACTAGTTCACCCATAGCCTTCATTTCTTTTTAATTTAATCCACCATTCCTTTCAAAAATATCCATGTTACGGAGTATTCTTTATTTTCTAGAATCTAGAAACGGAAAGAAAAACTTTAAGGCAAGCAAAAAAGGAATAAGAAAAACATCGTAATGGATAATAAGGTATACTATTCGATTTGTTTCATTAATGTGCTCCACGTTTCTTTTTAATTCTTCTGTTTTTTTAAATAGTCCTATCTTCTTTTTTTTTTACGTATTCTATTAAAAAATTTTGATTTATCTTATCTAAAAGATTTAAAATACCCCCCCCCCCCCAAATAATATTCACTTTCAACAGAGCGAAAATGAGGTATATTATACACATTTTAGATGAATAGATATGTTTTGTAAGATGCACAAAATTGATGGTGAAAATGTTTTAAAAAGCACAAGGAATATAATACTCCATATTTTTTACTATATTTTAAAATAAAATTCAACTTTTCTACAAAAAATTAAAAAAAAAATTATTCCTAATTTTCTCTCTTTTTAAGCATCAATCTCAATTAGATACGGAGTATTTATAATTTCCTTAAGAAATATTTGCGCTAAATGGCACCAAAACTCAAGTCATTTCTCTAAATAGCACTTAAATTGTTTTATTCCCTAAATAGCACTTAATAATGTTCATAATGTCTAGTGATGACGAATATTTGCTTGAATATGACTAATGCATAATGACTAAAAGTGTTACATTAGGAAGAAAAACACATATAGTGTTATTTAGAGAAAGTTATTATGTTTTAGTGTTATTTAAGTAAATTCTTCTTTTCTTAATAACAATGCTAATTTTATTTGGCAAGTTGGATTTTGAAAATGTTATTTACAGACAATTTTTAGCGTTAGGTTTAAAGTTAATCTATACTTCCAAAAATATACGGAGTATTCAAAATACTGATCGAAAATACTATTTCCAAAACGAACAAATATTCAATACTTCCTCCGTCTCGGAGTATTCATCCAGTTTTGACTTTTGGAACTGTTCATCTAAGCACTTTGACTCATTAAATTCTCTCAATGTGTAAGCCTAAATATAATCATGTGTGATCTTGTTTGATTTGTCTTAACATATAGATTATTAATATATAATTTTTATAATTTTTTAATATACAAATTACAAGATAAAATGGATTAAATAAATGTATTAAATAGTGTGTAAAAATGAAAATGGACAAATACTCTGAGACAGATGTAGTAGTTTGAAAGGATTTGAGAGGATAAAATAGAATACTCCGTATTACAATAGGCCGTTGTGGAAAACGGTGGGTGCAATGCATTGACTTTACCTGTTGAACGGTGCACCCATTTCCGAGCATTTGACCAACCCACTTTCTAAGTTTCTACGTCGTAGTTTCCTTTTTTTTCCTACTTTGCCATAAAATAAATACGGAGTATAGTTTTATATAGCTCGATATTATAAAAACTTGATACTCCCTGTTTCAAAATTATATTTTAAGATTGATCCAACTTATTAAATTTATATTGTAATTAATATACTTTTTTCATAATTTATTATTAAAATATTATATAATTTGGCTAAAAAATTCAATTATAATACTAAAATTAGGACATAAAATGCATGTTACAATAGTACTTTACCTTGATATAATTAAATGATGAAAAAGAATTTTAAAAAGGATAAGAATTTATTCTGGTTAGAGATAAATTTTGCAAGTCATTCATATATTTATTAGACCATATCTTATGGCAAGCTTGACAAAGTACCTCGTGGATGCCCCGTAAGTGATTAATACTTCTTCTGTCTTAAAATTATCTTCCTAATTAACATTCACACGGTCAAACTTAAATCACTTTATTTACATATTTTTGTTAGTTATTTAATAAAATAATATGGTCTTGTCACCTCTTATTTTGTAGCACTTTTAATGTAGTTTTTAAATATATGAATTTTGTTTTTTTAAATTGAATTAAAAGTAAAGTCGGGCAAACCTCGTAAACACAAACAGGAACATAGTTGTAGGACGGAGGGAGCATTAGATATTGATACAAACATAATTAATTAGTTTATTTATGGTTTTATATGATTAATTATAGGTTAAACATTTAAAGTAACTAACTGCAAAAAATTAAAATTAAATAAATACGGAGTATTCAAGAACGTAAGTACGGAGTAGTAATTTGTTTGAACACTAATTCTTACTTCTAATATTGTTGCGAAATAGACCATAACATGACATATTTTATTGTGAGGAGTAGTTTGTATGTAGTTTGTACAAATCTTATAAGCAAAGACATAAATCTCGAATTGGATAAGATGTGGTTAATTTGGTGATGAAGTAAATTAAACTTTATCAATCCAATAATCATTAAGCTTATCTGATTTCTATCAAGTGGATAATTTCTACTTAATTTAAATTCCAAAAAAGAATCGAGAATTTCTTGACATATTTTATTGTGAAGAATAGTTTGCACAAATTTCTTAAGCTAAAAAGTAAATCTCTAATCGGATGAAGGCCATGAGGGTGTTTAACTTGTTGCTGAACCAAAGTAAACTTTATCAAATCCAATAATTATTTAAGCTTATCTTATTCATATCAAGGGGATAATTTCCACTTAATTTAAATTCCCAAAAAAAGTGGATAATTTCTTGAGTTAGTAAATAATTTATTATCATAATTATCACGGGAATTAGATAAAAATTGAACCACCTAACTTCTACGGTACTCAATACCAACCCACTCGAGTTGGGTCTCTATGTAAGACTAGTAACACATTGATAAATACTCTAATAAAATATGTTTTATAAGTGAAAAAAATAATTACAATCGTACCTAGGAGATATATGTATTTTAGAGCATATTTTATATCTTCTAAAAAAGTAAGATAAAAGGTGTAAATTTTATGTTGTAACGTATTAAAAAGAAAAATAATTTTTTTCTATAATTAGGTGTTCGAACTTAAGTGATGACATTGCTAAATTACGATTATTTAATAGTGCAATGCTCTTATCTATGGATAAAAAATATAAGAAATCTTAATCTTGTATGAATTCAAATATAAATAAAAAACACAAATTTAATTTTATAGTCTTGTTTAAGCAGAAATATTGTAGAATTATTTGTAGGGTGGATATTCATACTCTCTCCGTCCCAAAATATTTGCAACGTTTACTTTTTCAGGATTCGCGGAAACTTTTGTTTATTTTTACGTTTTCATTGGCACCTCTTATTTCGAAGAACTTTTCATGTAGTTTTTTGATATGTAAATTTTATTTTTTATTTCTATAACAAAATGTAAATAAAATAAATTGAAAAAACTTGATATTTTGCCTTGAGAATACAAGTGTAGCAAATATTTAGAGACGAAGAGAGTATTATACTAGTATTTCAAAGGATAGAAATTAGAACAAATATTGGATAGGTGAGTTTGGGTTTGAAAATTTCCTTTTGTAGATTTAGTAATTACGGAGTATAATTATAAAACTTTACTAGATTTTCTTTTCGTATTTAAAAGAATTCTAATCGTAGGAGTAGTTTTCTTATAAAACAATTTTTAATAAAATTTCCAAAAGTCAAATTAAGTAAAAAGAAAAAAAGAAAATTAAAATTGGAAAGAAATATTAGACTGCTCCGTAATTAAATAATTACTCCATATTAAACGATGACTTAAAGCGCATTACTCGGAGCGGATTAGTACTAATCCATTCTTCGGTCCAAATAAAACAGCGCCTCTCCCGTTCAAATCCCCTCTAAATCTCTCTCTGTTTTCTTCATCTTCATCTTCTTCTTCTTTCTTCCCATTGATCTTCGATCTTCCTCTAATACAGAGTATATACATTCTTCATATCGTAGCCATGGCAGTCAACGGCGGTTCTCAGAATCTGATCGTGAGCTTCGGCGAGATGCTGATCGACTTCGTGCCGACGGTCTCCGGCGTGTCTCTGGCGGAGGCGCCCGGTTTCCTTAAGGCGCCGGGCGGCGCGCCGGCGAACGTCGCGATCGCGGTTGCGAGGCTGGGCGGGAAGGCCGCGTTCCTCGGGAAACTCGGCGACGACGAGTTCGGACACATGCTCGCCGGGATTCTGAAGGAGAACGCAGTGCGCGCCGACGGGATCAATTTCGACAAGGGCGCCCGCACGGCCCTCGCGTTCGTGACCCTACGCGCCGACGGCGAGCGCGAGTTCATGTTTTACAGGAACCCCAGCGCCGACATGCTTCTCACCCCGGATGAGCTGAATCTGGAGCTCATTAGATCTGTGAGTGACGTCCCCTTCATCATCAACTCGCTTTTTCTTTTTTCTCTCCAGATTTTTAATAAATATCTTTCGATGATTTCATAGAAAGCGCGTGACATATTCAAATCTATGCTTTAATCTTCGCATATCAATGCCGATTAACGCGATTATTACAGATCAGTAAGAGCGATTTTGCCCAATTCTAAGAAAATCTCTCTAATTTAATCAGAGAGAAATCTTTATGAACCGTAACGGTGGATTAGATCTCGCTATTTTGGGCTTAACACCACGCGCCGCCATGACGTAGGATTCAATCTACTGCTGCAAGTGGCCCGCATCTCAGATTTTTTTATTAAAAAAATCATGAAATTTCGAATCTTTAAAAATTTTTATTTCAATTGCTCTCAGAATCTTGATAATCATTATAATCTTTTTTTAATTGGTATAATAAGAGATCCAAAAAATTAAATGGTGCAAATATTGATTTGGTATGCCATAATTAATTAATTAATTATGGCAATTTTGAAACGCGGGGCGTCAATTCCAAATCTGCAACATATATATTTGTCGTTGTTCGTTTGCTGAAATTGGTGGTTCTTGGGGGTCCATATTTGGTGAGAAATCTCTTCCTATGTAGCCCCACGCCTAATTATTTATTTTTTTTTTGAGGTGCACATGCTTCACATTGTGCATCATTCAACCACTGGGTAGAAAAATCAAGAAACCCCACCAATTGATTCAAATAAAGGCCTTGTTTGGTTGTCCAACAAAATTACAAACATGCTCAAAATGGGCAATATGGTCAAATCTGCCTATCTGCTGACTTTACTTTTGTTATTGTGTGCTGAAATTTTGATGTACAGGCAAAGGTATTCCACTATGGGTCAATAAGCCTGATAGTAGAGCCATGCAGATCAGCTCATTTGAAGGCAATGGAGGTGGCAAAAGCAGCAGGGGCATTGCTGTCTTATGACCCAAACCTCAGGCTACCATTGTGGCCATCGCCAGAGGAGGCGCGGACCCAGATCATGAGCATTTGGGAGAAGGCGGATGTGATCAAGGTGAGTGATAACGAGCTCGAGTTCCTCACCGGCAGCGACAAGATCGACGATGAGTCTGCTTTGTCCTTGTGGCACCCAAACCTCAAGCTCCTCCTTGTCACCCTTGGTGAAAAGGGTTGCAGATATTACACCAAGGTTTGTTTATTTCCTCTTGTCATCTTATATTTCAATAGCTAGGCTTTCACATTTGCAAACAGATTATAGAAACTAATGATATGAGATTATATATTGAGATAAATTAAACATTTTACATAGGAGGGTTGCTTTTTCTTTTAAATGCTTATGTGGCCAAGGCAGCACAAGTGAATCCTTTAGAAGTAAACTACTGTTAAAAAAAGAGAGGGGAATTGATTTTTTTGTTTTTCATGGGTTGCCATAGTGCTTTTGAGGACTTTTGGACAAAGTGTCTTCACTTTAGGATGTGGTAATAATTAGTAGAAAGTGGGTAATTCAAAGAAAGGATCAATTGGGTCCCCTTCCCCCTCTTACCTTTAGAAATTGAAGTCTTTACCCTATCTATGGGCAGTTTTTCATCATAGTTGTGCCACTCTATTTACCCCTCTGTTTAGCTCTATTAAACCTATTAAAGGGCTTTCCAATTCACTATTCCAAGGCCAAATTTTAATCAATTTTTTTGCTCATTCTCAGTGACATTTGATAAAATAATATAGTGTTGCCACTTCTTGTGTGAACTTCCGAGTATTTGCAGTCTATGTTTTCTTAAAAAGACGTATGGTGAATGTGTTCTTGATATTAGTTTCTTCGTTGTGTTCGGGGTTGTAGAGTTTCTGGGGCTCTGTGGAAGGATTTCAAGTGAAGACAGTGGACACGACTGGGGCTGGTGATTCCTTCGTGGGTGCCCTTTTGTGCAAGATTGTTGATGACCACTCCATAATTGAGGTAAGTCCCCAAATACAGTACTGGTTCTTGAATTGGATCATCATCATCAGAGTTTCTTAATATAACTTGAGAATGGGAATGATTTGCAGGACGAGTCGAGATTGAAGGAAGTGCTCCGTTTTGCATGCGCGTGTGGAGCGATCACGACCACAAAGAAGGGAGCCATCCCTGCCCTTCCAGTTGAGGCCGATGCCTTGGCCATTCTTTCCGCTGCTAAGAAGGCATAAATTTCACTCCTTGCCTTAGTAGCCTCTTGCATTTCCCATTCATTGTTCTCTTTGCCATCTCTTGTTTTGATTAGTTTTAATTTTTTTTCAAGGGGACTCTTGTTTCTAGTTTTTTTCATATATATTTTTTCCCTTGTAGTCATGGATTGCTGTCTCTTCTTGGCATTTTTCAATAAATCAGTTTCTGTGATTTGGTTATTTATTGACTCTAGTAAATAATAATGCTCTGTCCCTTCATTATTATAAAATAGTATTCCACATAGAACAAAGTTCGATATTGCTTCTTCCCGGTCCAAAATCCAAATTTGACACGAGGTACAAATTGCTCAAGTAAGGTCATAATTCTAATGTAGTATTCCACATTGAAATTAACATGATTATAAAATAAAAATATGCGATTGTAATTTACAAATTTATTCAGAAATACTACCTCCCTCGTCCTTAAAAGATGTTTGAGAAATTTATTTACTAAAACATAGTGATTATTCTAATGTAGTATCATACGTTTATATTTTTCAATATATTGACATTGTTCAAACTCATTTAGTGCAAATTTTATAATAATTCAAACTTAAAGATCTTTACTTAGAAAAATTAGTTTATATGTACACTCAGCTTTTCTATCCCTTCTTCAGGCGATGATTAATTATCCCTCTGATTTTTTTAAATACTTCTACTAAATTAATCTGTGGTAATTTTATCTTTTCAAATTTATGTCTACCTTATTTGCAAAGGGCAAACTCGTGGAAATGAGGTTGTAATGGTTAATAAAAAGCACTAAGTACGGCCAGGAGAGGGAGTGTACTCGTGTGTAAAAGGCATGCAAACAATCAATTCCCCAAAACCAGACAGTAGTATTAAAAACACAAACACACATGCCCTGCTTTTCACTCTCATTTTGGTCTTAAAGTAACCACAACTAGAATGCAATGGACTGTGGATAGCAACCAACGACCTCCATCCTAAGGGATGCCCAAACGCGGCCGTGCTTCGTTTGCCTCTCTCGCATGCGACCTAAAAACGCCTTTGCCCATTTTTCGCCGCTCCCCTTCAAGCTCAGCTCATAAGGAACAGAAAAACTGTCAAATCGACACACAAAATCATCGTGTTATAAGTTGAGGATACATATGGGAATCCGACTCCATCTCCAGTTTTACAAGAAACATCAGCATATAGTAATCATACATATCATACGGTTACAGTGTTGTTACCTTAGTAATTCTTCGCTTTGAGACTGAGGTCGATCATCCTTACCTGCGCCCTTTCTGGAAAAATGACACTCAGATGAAAAATGACACCCAGATTAATCTTCCGTAAGGAAAAAATGACACCCAGTTTAAAGTAGGAAAGGGTTCTTTAACTTTTGGTTAAAGCCTGAACTAACCTGGATGCAAAAATTTGGAAGATATGAAGTGACTTGGTGGAGAGATTGTATATGGCTTCTTGAATGTGATCCTGGCCAAATAAGTACACTACTGGATACCCAAGTAGCCATCTTCCAACAACAACAACAACAAAAAACATTACTTTGATTAATTTGGTGAAACCCGCGCTTTGAAAAAATATATATGAAAGTCACCAACAAAGAGCAAGGAGTGAATATTATTATATCGATCAAACGATCTGCAGCATGAATCATGATGAACATATATTGTGATACTCTATGTGACTAGTACCATAGAGTAGTTTGAAACCACAGCCCAGATAGAATGTACATGAACCTCGGATAGGGCAGATCATAAAACAAATTAATAAGAGAAATTACAGGACAAAGACAAGTTACCCATTAAGTGTTGGAACGGTGACCCCAGTTTCTTTAATGCTGCTACTGAGATCAATAAGGTCGGAGGACTGCAAACTAGTTGGCTTGTTTTCAGTTGCACAATCTGGACCACATTGTTCCAAATGATTACAACTTGTTTCGCCTTCCGAAAAAAGCGAGGAAAATAGTTTCTGTGCCAGCACAAGCGCGAGAATTGCAGCTTTCTCATCAGTTCTTGTGATCATCTAAAGTAACATTTTCAAAGATTCAATTAGACACGGTCAGTTAAAAAAGTAAATAAATATGAAAAAAATGAAAGAACAAGAGAGACAAAATGCAACCTTTGGAGGATCTTGTTCAAGGTCTATATAGAGCAATTCAGATTCCAAGTTGGTGCTCGATTTCACATATTCATCAAATGTTTTGAGATGAACCAAATAAATCATGTCTTCAATAATCATTACCCGAAGATTTTCAAATCCCGAAGACTCCTGGAAAATTGTAGACAAGTATATCAGTGCAATCCTGTCAAGATGACAGATCATAGTTAAAAGATACATATTGCTATACTCCATCTTAAAAGATGTGATAAGAGAAAAAACAATAGGAGTTACTTCACTCTCAGGGATTTTCACCTTTGTGTAGATCATAGACTAAATCAACAACAACAAACCCAGTAAAATCCCACAAAAGTAGGGCCTGGGAAGTAGGGTTGTAAACGAACCGAATCAAATCGAATATTCATGAAAAATATTCATATTCGTTAAGATGGAGTGATATTCGAATTCGAATTCGAATTCAGTTCGAATATTTTTTAAGATTCGTATTCGGTTCGTTTAATATATAAACATATTCGGTTCGTTTAAATATTCGGTTCGTTTAAATATATTCGGTTCGTTTAAAAATACTCAGTTCATTTAGATTTTAAAATATTTTATAACCATTCGAATACGAATCACCTTAAGGCCCCGTTTGGTACATGGAATTCAAACTATGGAATTGGAATTGAAGACTTCAATTCCAATTCTGGTGTTTGGTAGCACAAAAACTGTGTGAATTTGGAATTGATAGTGCAGAAAATGAATTGGAATTAGCAGAATTCAATTCTATGGAATTGAATCCCATGGAATCTCAATTCCAATTCCGTATACCAAACGGACCCTAAACGAATACGAATCACGAATCGAACAAAAAATATTCGATTCATTTACAACCCTACTGGGAAGGGCATGTGCACACACATCGTAGACTAAATCAAAACAGCAAATTAAACTTCCTTTGCTTCTTACTTCCCTATGAAGTTCCTGATAGTAAATGCAGCAATGCATCAAGGTTCTAACAAAAAATAACCTCTTCATTTTTACACGGGTAAAGTTGCGTACATCTTAAACCTCCAAACCCCAACGGAGTTGAGATTATACTAGTTTTTGTTCTTGTGTCAAACAAATAAGGGTATTGGGTTGTATCCAATAGACAAATAATTGAATATAAATAGAGATTAGAGAAGCAGAGAGAGTTTAGAGGCCAACATTTCTGCATTGTTTGAGGAAAGCACAGAGCTTTTGCTGCAGTTCCGGCATCTTTCCTCCATAATCCACCATCACAACCGGTCTCATCTCAGTGCACAATGCCAACATGTCTGCCCATGACATTCCCATTTTATCAATTTTCAAATTTTAGGTCAAAATAATACCGGGCACCAAAGTTGCCCCTGCAAAAACAGTTCTTAATCACACGGATTCCAGAATCCGTCTGTGTTTCGGAATCATCCATCAACAGCAATAGAAAGCTCAAAACTTTGATTAGCGCAGTTAAAAAAAAACTAACGAAACTCGGGTATCTACTCGTTGGGGTTAAAAAACACTTATTTGTTGGATTTCTCTGCATAAATGGAATCAAATAAGAAGGTATATAGAGGGAGGGAGGGAGGGAGTGAAAGAACCGGTTTGAAGGCGACGCTTGGAGGAGGGCTTGAGGCGCCATTTGATATGGGACAAAGAAGATTCCAAAGCCCTCACTATTTCATCTGCCTCATCCATTTCAACTTTCCATTCCAGAACCCAAATTGGAATTTTGGCCCTTTTTAAAAAATTCTCTGGGAGTGCGCTTACGTGATTCATGAAGATTTTGCCACATATCAATGTCCCCCCAACTAATTTTTGTGAGACGGGATTGATGGAATTGCAATTTGATTTGAAGTTAAAATTTTATAGAATTGATTTAGATGGAATTGAATTTTTTCAATTTCAAATCATTTTAGGTACAACCAATTCTAAATCTATATATATTTGTGCTGGGCAATGCTAGGGTACACTAACATTAGGTACCCCAAGTGTACACCAAGTCGACACAGACACACACAGACACAGAATGTCTGTGTTGCACAGACATTTTGTGTCAGTGTGTATCTGTGTTGGCTTGGTGTACACTTGGGGTACCCTATGTTGGTGTACCCTTAGCTTAATTCTTTTGTGCTAATAAACATCAGAATTGAAATTATTGTTCTCAATTCTAATTCCATAGTTTGAATTTCGTGTACCAAACGGAGCCTTAGATTAAAAAATACTCCCTCCCTACGTCTCAAATTAAATCATCTTTACGAGTTTAGGATGTTTTATTGAAATTATTATACATCAAAAGTTGTGTATAATTAAAAATAAAAAATTACATATTTAAAAGCTAAATTAAAATATTTACAAAACTAATGGTAAAAGCTAAATATAATTATGGAAAGAAAATTAATGAAATTTGACATATGAATAGTAAACAAGTAACTTAATTACGGAGTATTTTTTTTTAAACTATATAATTATATAAACCTATAGTGGACCCTAGTTAAAATTGAGGACACCCCAATTAAAATATATTTCCTTGCATATAATTAATTATTTATATACTCCGTATTATTGATTAATTTTATTTACTGAATACATATTTCAAATAAAATTTATTATTACTTTTTATTATTTTATACGGAGTATTGCATATTTAAAAAATTAGTAGACGTTCCCCCTGACCCCAACTAATGATGCTCCTAACTGTTTGAATTCTTAGATCAAATTTCTAGATCGGCCATTGATCACTATAGTAATATACTCCGGGGTACTTAAATATCGGCAATACCAAGTCATGTTTTATAAAAACCACCTTAAACATGAGTAAAATATCAAAAAAAGTGTCAAAATAAAAACTTTTTTGTTTTTATCTCTAAAATAAAAATTTACATTGTGACAATGTGATACTTATATAAACATTTCACAATATTTTTTAAAAATATATATGGTTATTGTTGACACCATAAGTACATTTTAATCTCTATTTCAGGAATAAAAACATAAAACCCTATTTTAGTATATTTTTGATGTCTAACTTCTACTTTCTTTTTTCTCATTTGTTATACCTTCGAATTTTGTAATACCAATATTTCAGTACGAACAAAATCAAACCAACAAGTGCTTCTATGGTAAACTTG